ACGCTAGACGAGATGAGATCTTTTTGTGTCGGTAAAATGTATTATTAGAGAAATTGCGGTAGAAACGCTCTGGTGCGCAAATATTGATAGTAATAACCATCATATCGAAGTAAAGTTGGAGTCATGTGGTCCTCCCACTATGACTCCGGAAAGCATACAGTTTATTAGGCTACAGATGAAATATACTGAACAAAAATATAAACGAAACATGCAACAGTTCATATAAGGATATCAGTCAATTGAAATAAATGCTTTAGGCCCTAATCTAAGGATTTCACATGACTGGGAATACAGACATGCATCTGTTGGTCACAAATACTTTTTTTTTTTTAAAGGTAAGGGCGTGGATCAGAAAACCAGTCAGCATCTGGTGTGACCACCATAGAGTTGATCAGGCTGTTGATTGTGGCCTGTGGAATGTTGTCCCACTCCTCTTCAATGGCTGTGTGAAGTTGCTGGATTTTGGCGGGAACTAGAACACGCTATCGTACACGTCGATCCAGAGCATCCCAAACATGCTCAATGGGTGACATGTCTGGTGAGTATGCAGGCCATGGAAAAACTGGGACATTTTCAGCTTCCAGGAATTGTGTACAGATCATTGCGACATGGGGTTGTGCATTATCATACAACTTGAGGTGATGGCGGCGGATGAATGGCATGACAATGGACCTCAGGATCTCGTCACGGTATCTCTGTGCATTCAAATTGCCATCGATGAAATGCAATTGTGTTCGTTGTCCGTAGCTTATGTCTGCCTATACCATAACCCCACCGCCACCATGGGGCACTCTGTTCACAACATTAATATCAGCAAACCTCTCTGCGGTTGTGAGGCCGGTTGGACGTACTGCCAAATTCTCTAAAATGAAGTTGGATATGGCTTATTGTAAAGAAATGAACATTCAATTCTCTTGCAACAGCTCTGGTGGACATTCCTGCAGTCAGCATACCAATTGCACACTCCCTTAAAACTTGAGACATCTGTGGCATTGTGGTGTGTGACAAAACTTTACATTTTAGAGTGGCCTTTTATTGTCCCCCAGCACAAGGTTCACTTGTGTAATGATCATGCTGTTTAATCAGCTTCTTGATACGCCACAGCTGTCAGGTGGATGGATTATCTTGTAAAGCAGACACGCTCACTAACAGGGATGTAAACACATTTTCGCGAAACATTTTAGAGAAATACGCTTTTTTAAAATCTTTTATTTCAGCTCATGAAACATGGGACCAACATTTTACATGTTGCGTTTATATTCTTGTTGAGTGTAAATGATGATATGATGAACTTCACAAGGTGGTGAAACTGCAAGGTGACGAGCTTGATGCTCCTTTCCAATAAATGTTGAGGGTCTTTTTCTGGTGACATGATGATTGATGCTTGGCTGCCATTTGACACATTTTCTCCATAACGATATCATCATGTAAGCCCTAGGCTATACCCACACTGTATCTGCGAGCTGCTAGCTAGAGCGCACGCCATGTACCAAAACCAGAGTGGGCATTTTTATGTGACAAAACCATCAGTATAGTTGAAAATGCAATGGAAACCCATTTAGCTTGTACTTTTTATTCGGTACATGGGAATTTAACCGCAAAATGTATTTTTATTTGCACTAGCCTACCACATCACGCAACAAGTCAATTTGATGGAACATTTTCATATTACATTTTTGTGGATTTTAGAATATCCACATGAAAACCTGTCGCCAATTAGATGGAAACCTAGCTAGTGATTGAAAAAAACTATTTCTGGGCAAGATCCAGAATTCCATCAGTTTGCTTTATTTCAGTAAAGATTTTGTATTTTCCTCCAAAAAGTAAGTTTAGTCTAAAGTCCTAAAATATATATCTCTTCATAGTCTGTTTCTGATCTTTGGGCACGACTTCCAGGTAAAGTTGCTTATTTTGTCTCGTCTGAAAAAATGTCATAAGTGATATCAAGCCAAGGAGAGGAAGTACCGTTGTAAGCTGAAATGGAACATTTCTCTTTATTTACATGAAGAAGTGCTTCCTCTGAGTTCCATCTCCTGAAAGCTCCGTTAAAACTATCTGTCCTGTCCTGGGTCAGGCCTGGCCTATCTCAAATAACACAGGTTCCAGAACACTGCAAAATGTCTTGGATCCTTGACTGTCTTGGCTTGGTAGGATAGTAAGTTAGGATTTGGTAAACACCATTTTGATTATGTTATCAAATGATGTACGGCACTCTTACATTTACAAATGTTACTATATACAGTGAGGGAAAAAAGTATTTGATCCCCTGCTGATTTTGTACGTTTGCCCACTGACAAAGACATGATCAGTCTATCATTTTAATGGTAGGTTTATTTGAACAGTGAAAGACAGAATGACAACAAAAAAATCCAGAAAAACGCATGTCAAAAATGTTATGAATTGATTTGCATTTTAATGAGGGAAATAAGTATTTGACCCCTCTGCAAAACATGACTTAGTACTTGGTGGCAAAACCCTTGTTGGCAATCACAGAGGTCAGACGTTTCTTGTAGTTGGCCACCAGGTTTGCACACATCTCAGGAGGGATTTTGTCCCACTCCTCTTTGCAGATCTTCTCCAAGTCATTAAGGTTTCGAGGCTGACATTTGGCAACTCGAACATTCAGCTCCCTCCACAGATTTTCTATGGGATTAAGGTCTGGAGACTGGCTAGGCCACTCCAGGACCTTAATGTGCTTCTTCTTGAGCCACTCCTTTGTTGCCTTGGCTGTGTGTTTTGGGTCATTGTCATGCTGGAATACCCATCCACAACCCATTTTCAATGCCGTGGCTGAGGGAAGGAGGTTCTCACCCAAGATTTGACGGTACATGGCGCCGTCCATCGTCCCTTTGATGCGGTGAAGTTGTCCTGTCCCCTTAGCAGAAAAACACCCCCACAGCATAATGTTTCCACCTCCATGTTTGACGGTGGGGATGGTGTTCTTGAGGTCATAGGCAGCATTCCTCCTCCTCCAAACACAGCGAGTTGAGTTGATGCCAAAGAGCTACATTTTCATCTGACCACAACACTTTCACCCAGTTCTCCTCTGAATCATTCAGATGTTCATTGGCAAACTTCAGACGGGCCTGTATATGTGCTTTCTTGAGCAGGGGGACCTTGTGGGCGCTGCAGGATTTCAGTCCTTCACGGCGTAGTGTGTTACCAATTGTTTTCTTGGTGACTATGGTCCCAGCTGCCTTGAGATCATTGACAAGATCCTCCCGTTTAGTTCTTGGCTGATTCCTCACCGTTCTCATGATCATTGCAACTCCACGAGGTGAGATCTTGCATGGAGCCCCAGGCCGAGGGAAATTGACAGTTCTTTTGTGTTTCTTCCATTTGCGAATAATCACACCAACTGTTGTCACCTTCTCACCAAGCTGCTTGGCGATGGTCTTGTAGCCCATTCCAGCCTTGTGTAGGTCTACAATCTTGTCCCTGACATCCTTGGAGAGCTCTTTGGTCTTGGCCATGGTGGAGAGTTTGGAATCTGATTGATTGATTGCTTCTGTGGACAGGTGTCTTTTATACAGGTAACAAACTGAGATTAGGAGCACTCCCTTTAAGAGTGTGCTCCTAATCTCAGCTCGTTACCTGTATAAAAGACACCTAGGAACCAGAAATCATTCTGATTGAGAGGGGGTCAAATACTTATTTCCCTCATTAAAATACAAATCAATTTATAACATTTTTGACATGCGTTTTTCTGGATTTTTTTGTTGTTATTCTGTCTCTCACTGTTCAAATAAACCTACCATTAAAATTATAGACTGATCATTTCTTTGTCAGTGGGCAAACATACAAAATCAGCAGGGGATCAAATACTTTTTTCCCTCACTGTATAGTAGGTACACTATCTGGCTAAAGGTATGTGGACACCCCTTCAAATTAGTGGATTCATCTAATTCAGCCACACCCGTTGCTGTCAGGTGTATAAAATCGAGCACACAGCCATGCAATCTCCATAGACAAACATTGGCAGTAGAATGGCCCGTACTGAAGAGCTCAGTGACTTTCAATGTGGCACCATCATAGGATGCCACCTTTCCAGCAAGTCAGTTTGTCAAATTTCTGCCCTGCCATCGGGAGCTTCATGAAATGGGTTTCCATGGCCGAGCAGCCACTCACAAGCCTAAGAGCACCATGCGCAATGCCAAGCGTTGGATGGAGTGGTGTAAAGCTTGCCGCCATTGGACTCTGGTGCAGTGGAAACGCGTTCTCTGGAGTGATGAATCACGCTTCAGCATCTGGCAGTCCGACGGATGAATCTGGGTTTGGCGGATGCCAGAAGAACGCTAGCTGCCCGAATGCATAGTGCCAAATGTAAAGTTTGGTGAAGGAGGAATAATGGTCTGGGGCTGTTGATTCGGAAACTTAGTTCCAGTGAAGGGAAATCTTAACTCTATGACATTCTAGACGATTCTCTGCATCCAACTTTGTGGCAACAGTATCCTGTTTCAGCATGGCAATGCCCCCGTGCACAAAGCGAAATCCATACAGCAATGGTTTGTCGTGATCAGTGTGGAAGAACTGGTCTGCGCAGAGCCCTGACCTCAACCCCATTGAACACCTTTGGGATGAATTGGTACGCCGACTGCGAGCCAGGCCTAATCACCCAACATCAGTACCCAACCTCACTAATGCTATTGTGGCGAAATGGAAGCATGTCCCCGCAGCAATGTTCCAACATCTAGTGGAACACCTTCCCAGAATAGCGGAGGCTGTTATAGCAGCAAAGGGGGGGATCAACGCTATATAAATGCCCTTGATTTTGGAATGAGATATTCGATGAGCAGCTGTCCACATACTTTTGACCATGTAGTGTATTTGAATGTTGAAACAAAATAATAAAAAACAGTATAAACAAACTAGGTTCAAAGAGATTCTATTGCATTTGATACCAATACTCTATTTTTAAATTCTAAATTACTGCAAAGGCCACCATCTTGTTTGGATTACATTGCTCTTCCAAGCCTTAGAACATGACTGCACTCAATAGCCATACCTCATTGTTGTTTACATTCAATTTAATGCATTATTTAGTCAACATCACATCAAAAAAAAGAATAGGCAGATCTCCTATACATTTACAACATAGTCGGTATCAATACAGTAAAATATGCTGCTATGAAATTATTCTCACTTTGTATGAAGACATTAGTTTGACATATAAAAGGATCAAAGTGTCCTTGTCCTCTGAAGAAAGGCAAGTAGAGAAATATTATATTTCTTAGTATATCCAGTAGACAGAAGTGTAAACAATATACAGCTTTAAGTACAATTTAAAGGTTTCATTATAATTACTCCATATGCAAAATAATATCCTGATTGGCTTTGAAGCATAGAAGTCACATAGTTTAACGTATGTACTATGGCAGAGATAGATTTGCCTGAACTGTACATGTTATAACAGGGGTGTATTCTTACTACACTGCTAAGTTGTATGTTCTGAACTAAAGTATTTATGTTTAGCAGCATCTAGTCATCATACAGTGCCATTTGACTTGTATACTGTAATGCAATCAAATACTCTACTAACTGCTTTTGCTATATGATAGCATGGGAGCCCACAACCAGGTGATGTATCAACCCTGCTCAACTGTGTGCTTGGTAGCTAATAACATTTGAGATCTTCGAAACAAAGACATACAAAACCTGTCACCCATTTAAGATTATATTATTTGCTCTACACGCATACATTTCATGATATGAAAGTCATTTTTTTAGTTAAAAATCCAATAAAAAAAATCTAGGTAAAGAAAAATATTGTTAATTAATGTTGTGTAGCAATTGAATAAAAAGTTTAGCGTTTATGAAAGTGGTTATTTGCACGGTTGCACCATGGATTTGGTTGAGTCATAAGAGTAAAGGATTATGTACAATCTACATCCTGTTTATAAAGAGGCAAACATAGAAATACCTTGTATGCCAAACATGCTGTAATGTAAAGCACGTAAAGAAAAATTTAAACAAACCTTTTCTCTCTTCTCTGGCTGCTCTGAATATGGTATATGGTCCGCCACATTTGAGATCAATCTCAAAACCATGACCCCACTGGTTGGCAATTAGTTAACTGGTTGGCAGTTAGCTAGTTAGTTATTCACTGAATGGTTTGACAGAAAGCATTGTGCACTGGGACAGTTTCTGTTTCTCGTAGTTCGGCTTCAACAACATCTTGAAGGGAGCACCTCTCCCTTCCTATGGAATGTCTGGACAAGGATAAGGACACAGACAGTAGTAACCCTTATAGTAGCTGCTAGAAGTTGTTGGCGTGTGTGTGACTGTGTGTGTGTGGGATGGAGTGCGAGCGGGCTATAGGGGTGTGGTTGTTGCGCTTCTCCTTGCCATCACAAGAAGTCATGCTGTCTATGAACTGCCTCTTGCCCTGTTCCTCCTTCATGAACAGCTCCACCATCAGGATCTTCTCCTTGTGGATCTGAAGGCTGATATCTTTAGGGATGTCTGGGATCAACCAGTCCACGATGTCACTCATCAGCATCACCACGTTCTACAGGGAGGGACGAGATACATATATATATTTTTTTTAACGATATTCATGTCTAACAAATATTCACTTTTGTAAATGTGTTAGCTAATATATTCTCTATTGACGCAAGAATTGACATCAATATAGAACATCCATATGTAGGCCAGTCTACTAAGTCACTTATCAGCATCACCACATTCTACAGGGAGTGGAGAGACAGCATGTCATTGGTCAACCAGCAGGAAACAGGAAGTATACTCTATACCAGGGTTCCCCAACTGGCGGCCCACGGGCGTGGTTTTATTTGGCCCCCCAAGTTTTTGAGCAAAAACTTGTTGGAAATAAAACACTGGTAAAACACCAGGAAATCAACTCCAATTGATTTTAATTTTGGAAATCTGTTCAAGTTTTCCCACGCATAATAGAGAAACAGGTGATCATATACAAATGTAAGCACGGTTTTAAATTGTTATGTTTTAGTCTAATATTATCTCTGTTTGGCCTTCTTGCGGTCAATTTGTAGTCTACAAATTATGTGTAATTATGTTCCGGCCCCCCAACCATCCACTCAAGAAAATGTGTGTTACCAACTACAAAGAGACTTCTCCTCCACTCACCTGAAAGACTATGACGAAGGCCAATCGGGCGGCCAGGACCGCCCAGAACTCTTTAGAGATCACATAGGGCGTGTTGGACCATGGGGGGTCCCTGTAGTCTTTATACCTAGAGTCAAGAGTCAACTGATTACAAAAGGAGATGGAACAGACGACACCACAACAACTATTTCTTTTTACACATGACAAAAATTGTTAGCAGAAAATGAAGACATGACATGGTCATTACACTGTAATTACTTATCACAAAAATATAAGTTGTTGTCCCAGTGTTGTGCGTTCTCACCTACACATCTCCACCTGGTAACCCAGATGCAGAGGGTCCATAGGTTGTTTACCGTCCTGGAAGTCTGAGACGTTAAAATAGGACATGGTGTGGTTGACGAAGCCGTGCATGGAGCCATCTGGGCTGTACATGTACTGGTACACTAGCCTTGGGATGAAGTCTGATGTGAAGGAGATCACGAACGCCTGGAGAGAGACAGACACGATCAATGAGAAAGCGCCTTAAGACATGTAAGGCTGTAACAAATATGAGCCGTTTCGAGAAACTAGGTGAATGTTGCACGTCACTACTTCACATTTGAATGTTTTATTTATTAATTTTTTATCAAAATGCATTTTTTTGGCAGAAATGCCTTCTGGAAGATGTGAACTTTCATGTGCCTTAATAACTAACTTGTATGCCATCAGTAAATACGAATACAATTGTTAAATTACGTGCGTAGTTGGTTTAGCCGAACCTTCCCGCAAGCCATGATTGGCTGAGATATTGGATGGGATGGACATGCCTAGAGATGAGTTCGGATTGGTCTGCCATGTAGCATGCTTCGTGTCTATAACATGAGCTGCTCAGTATGTGTGGATAATATTGGCTACCGCCTTTTTTTGAAAGATATCATGTAGAACTGAAAAAGTTTTGCTACTGCTCTCAACATTGCTGCCCTGAAATTAATAGCGCTATAGACAAAGCTCAGTAGGAAAAAGTTGTGATGGACTACTTTCTGGAGGATGATCGTGCCATGCTGACTCTCTCGGACTCTGAAAATGAGGATATCCCTGATTTAGGTCAAAATATTTTAATTGAACCAGACATTGTAGAGTCTTCTGATGACAATGGTGGGGAAGAAACGGTGTCATTGTCAAGGAAGAAGTTGATTGAGTTTTGAAATCAGTGGAATGCCCGGTGGAAGCAGAGAGATGATTGCCAAATGTGGAGAGTCCAAAAAGAGAACACAGAAAGAAGGCTGTTGTATAAAACACCTGTCTACGGATTACATTTTCAAACTAAGGTCAACCATGACATCCATGACAGAGAGGGAGAAGAGTTCATCCATGTATACGGGTAAGAGTCTAGCTACATTTTCAGATATTATAAGTTTCAAATTTTTCTTTGCAAGTTAAAGGGTACTGTTAGCTAGCTAGCTAACGTTAGCTGGCTGGCTCGCTAGTTAACGTTATGTGTACGATCTGTGTAGTAATATTATTCGTATTTCAGAAATCTGCATTTGCATTGCTAGTTATAGCCTAATGTTAGCTAGCTAGCTAACATTGAACCTAGTTGGTTAGCTTTAGCTACCTGCAGATTCATACATGGTAGTATTGCCGCGTTCAAAACTGGGAATTAAGAAAAATACAAGGTCAAATCATGACGTCAGTGATCTTCAGGTCGGAAAGTCAAATAGATTTTTCCCAGTTGGAGCTAGTTTTATTTCAGAGTTCCCAGTTGTTTTGAACGCTTGGAAGTCAGAGATTTCCGAATTTCCAGTTGTTTTGAACATGGCATTAGAGTTGGGATTATGGTTCATTGTTTAGCTAGCTAACTAGCTAGCTACTGTACATATCTAAACAAAGACTACACTATGCAAGTAACCATTTCACTGTACCCTTTACACATTCTGTATCCTGTGCATGTGACAAATAAACATATATTTTATTTGATATAGTGTGTGTTCAACAGAGACGGTAATGTGAAGAACAACATGACCTGCACCAAACTCAGATTTTGATATTTGCCAAATCCAGATGGTGGGTAAAACATTTCCTGTTAACAGATAGTGATCGGATCATCTTGATCGATTAACGAAAATCACATGTTTATACAAGGTGTAAACGAGACCTAATGCTTAGAGCCCGACCGATATGGGATTTTTGGTTCGGATTCCGATTTTATGGAGGAAAATAATCACAGATTACCGATATATCTGCTGATATATTGTTTTTTAGAGGTGGAATGAAAAACATACTTTTACACAAATTGTGCTCCAAAGGATTAACAGATCAGTTAATGATGATTTCTTAACAAAATATTAAAATTAACATTATTTAAGAACATTTTATTTGTGGTTTACAGGATATCCACCAAAAAGCAACTATTCCTCTATAAATACGACAGTAAATACAAAACTTGCTTAGTTTACCTTCTTAGGTACAACTTAAAGATGTGGTTATCTATGGCAGTGGATAAAAAGTATGCAAAAGTGTATGTGCTATACAACCACAAGGAGTGGCTGGCTGAATGAATTCAACTTTGTCTTAAAGTAAATCTGAAACGGTCAAAGGTCATTTAAACAAACAGTTTATTGCAACCTCGCAATGAGAGTACGTTATGACCAATGATTTATAAACTGAACAAAAATATAAACGCAACATGCAACAATTTCAAAGATTTTACTGAGTAACAGTTCATATAAGGAAATCAGTCAATTGAAATGAATTCATTAGGCCCTAATCTATGGATTTCACATGACTGGGAATACAGATATGAATCTGTTGGTCACAGATACCCCCCCCCCCCAAAAAAAAAATAAGGTAGGGTCGTGGATCAGAAAACCAGTTAGTATCTGGTGTGACCACCATTTGCCTCATGCAGCACGACACATCTCTTTCGCATAGAGTTGATCAGGCTGTAGATTGTGGCCTGTGGAATGTTGTCCCACTCCTCTTCAATGGCTCTGCGAAGTTGCTGGATATTGGCAGGAACTGGAACAATCTGGTCAATCCAGAGCATCCCAAACATCCTCAGTGGGTGACATTTCTGGTGAGTATGCAGGCCATGGAAGAAATGGGACATTTTCAGCTTCCAGGAATTGTGTACAGATCCTTACAACATGGGGCAGTGCATTATCATGCTGAAACATGAGGTGATGGCGGTGGATGAACAGCACGACAATAGGCCTCAGGATATCGTCACGCTATCTCTGTGCATTAAAATTGTCATCAATAATATGCAATTGTGTTCGTTGTCTGTAGATTATGCTTGCCCATATCATAATCCCACTGCAACCATGGGGCACTCTGTTCACAATGTTGACATCAGCATTCCGCTCGCCCACACGACACCGCCCACACGACGCTGTCTGCCATCTGCCCGGTACAGTTGAAACCGGGATTCATCTGTGAAGAGCACACTTCTCCAGCGTGCCAGTGGCCGTCGAAGTTGAGCATTTGCCCACTGAAGTCGGTTACGACGCCGACCTGCAGTCAGGTCAAAACCCTGGTGAGGACGACGTGCACGCAAATGAGTTTCCCTGAGACGGTTTCTGACAGTTTGTGCATAAATTATTCGGTTGTGCAAACCCACTGTTTCATCAGCTGTCCGGGTGGCTGGTCTCAGACGATACCACAGGTGAAGAAGCCGGATGTGGAGGTCCTGGGCTGGCGTGGTTACACGTGGTCTGCGGTTGTGAGGCTGGTTGGACGTACTGCCAAATTCTCTAAAACGACGTTCAATTCTCTGGCAACAGCTCAGGTGGACATTCCTGCAGTCAGCATGCCAATTGCACGCTCCCTCAAAACTTCAGACATCTGTGTCGTGTGACAAAACTGCACATTTTAGAGTGGCATTTTAATTTATTGTCCCCAGCACCTGTGTAATGATCATGCTGTTTAATCAGCTTCTTGATATGCCACACCTGTCAGGTGGAATGAATATCTTGGCAAAGGAGAAATGCTCACTAATAGGGATGTAAACAAATTTGTGCACAACATTTGAGAGAAATACGCTTTTTGTGCGTATGGAACATTTCTGGGATATTTTATTTCAGCTCATGATACATGGGACCAACACTTTACATGTTGCATTTATATTTTTGTTCAGTAAATATACATAATTGGTTATGACAAGCACAAGATAGCTTTTCATTACAAAAATGTTTTGTTACAGAAACCATGTACATTACACTGTTATTCAATACAACATGTTTTGGCTATATATTTCAACTGCAAATGGCCTGCGCTGATGACTGAAAACATTTATGCAGGCAAATGCTTGCCGCACTGTTTTTAGTCACACATTCCAATTTAGCTAGCTAGATAACATTATCTACTTAGCTCATCATGAATGCAAGCACCAGGCCTGAATGATAGATCTACGCCAACTGTCTTGCTTTTTGCAGATTGCATATTTCGGGAAACTAACTAAATATGCCCACTAGCTAACATAATAGGCCCAGACAGTAACTGTTATTTTTGTATTAAGGATAAGTGTTCACTTTGGCGCCAGTCCAGTGTTAGCGCATAAGAGGAACAGATTGCTAGCTAGCTAGCTAAGCTAACTACCTTGCTGTCTAGATAGCTAATGTTAACTAAGTGAGAATGTGGACAGGGCTGCTTGCTTACTGAAGTGTACTTTTGATTATTTACTTATTCATATACGCTGGCTGTGGCAAGCTACTTACCGTCAAACCACCATGCCTACTCTCTCTTCCATTGTGGCCTAAGGCTGAATGATGTTCAATGAGATGCTGGTAGAGTACCCTCTTCAGGCAACCATTGAACATTACCAAAAAATTACCGCAAATGAGCAGACGTATTTGTTAATTCTATGTATATAATACTGGCGCTTTATCTGTGGAATAAAGACTGACACAAATATTTCAGTGAAAGGCTAATATCGGTAGATATTAATAACGCTATATTGGTTGAATATAGTGGTCAACTTCAGCAAAAGGTGCGCTGTCTTCAGTGTGCTGTACACCATCTACATCTGCAACTATCTGCCTGTCAGCACATAGTCTTTAGTGACTGACCGTTAACATAAATGTTAGCCCTAACCCTAACCTGAGAAGCTGGCCAGTGCCCACGCAATATTTGGTTCTGGGTTCCGAGATTTGTCAGCACGTAAACCTAGTGTATCCAAGGCCTTAAAGTAAAGACACATTGACAACAATATCAATAAGAGGAATTCCCTCCCTTCATCTTCATTGAACGCCTCCTTTGTCATAAATAACCCAGATCTGAATCTCAACTCGCCATGACAATGGTGATCCCTTTGGAAGTGAAGTGAGAGCCTGGTGTAGGATTTATGACCAAGCTAGCTCTCCTTCTGACCAAGTATGGTCTTCTCTGCACAGAGGAGCAGGCATTTAAAAGCCTTACTATTAGCTTTTACAAGTAACCCCCCCAAAAGTGGTGACATAAATTCACAGTAAATGTTGCGTGGACCAGGGCTGAGCTTCAATGAAAAATGTTCTAGTTTTAAGTGCAGACTTGTTTTTGTTGAGGAGGTTGGGGAATGGATAAAATGGATGACAACATTGTAACGTTGGCCAAACATTCAAAACAATCAAAACAGTGTATGTTAAAGTCAGAAAAAAAAAGTTTTTTTTATAATTTGGTCCCTTTTATGTTTTGCTGGGATTACAGGAATGACTTACGTTTATGATGACGGCCACTTTAGCCACACCTCGGAGAAGGTTGTACCATATTCCTAGAATCAGAGAAGCAGAATCACATGCGAGTCAGAACTCTTGATGGTACTTGTTATTACAATCTTATTCCTCTACAATCATTCTCTTTGGGTTAATCTTAAATATGAATACCCCCATTTAGGGGACTTTAGTTATAATTTAATTGTTTTATCAAGGCATATCAATGTAATTTGCTTAGAAATCGCTTCACGACAGTTCTGGCTAAAAGCCCAGATTTCCTGCTTCAAAACACTTGACCCCGAATGACTCTGGGGGTATTGGTTTACATATCAACAGCCATTGGAGGCTCGGGAGTCCCGCCTTAATGATCATTCGCTGATTGGACTGTCCGTCAATTTGTGACGTAACGGTACATTACATTACAGGTCCACAGGCTGCACAGTGCTGTAAAGCTGAGCGTCTACTGCAGCGATAGGAAGCTGTCCCACCGTTCTATGACAAACACACATCGATTTATATCGAATAAAAAAGAATTAAAAAACGAACACAATTGCAAGACACAAAACCAATTCGTCTTCATCACAGAGGGACAAACCTTATATTAGATGAAAGCTGAGATCGTGACGGATCAGTAGAGTGACGAATCAACTCTGTGGTACGTTCACAGGGCTAGACACAGCAATGAATTAGAGCAGTGCACCACGAAATAAGTCGGATTTCCCTTACCACTAATTATATACAAAATTATTACAGTATTAAGGAAGCTGAAAACGTATAGCATGTCATCTTCAAAGTTGATCGGGAGTATAAGTAGATTATCCCAAAAATGTTTCAAGCCCTATTCCCCCATTTTTCATGAATAGGTTGTTCATAGCATATGAAATTCGCCTACCGCCCTGACAGATCCACGGACGATGCAATCACCATTGGCACTGCACACTGCCCTCACCCACCTGGACAAAAGGAATGCATACATGATGATGCTGTTCATCGACTACAACTCGGCCTTCAATACCATAGTGCCCTCTAAGCTCACCACAAAGCTCACGGCCCTGGGACTGAACTCCTCCCTATGCAACTGGGTCCTGTACTTCCTGACGGGCCACTCCCCGGGTGGTGAAGGTACGCAATATTACCTCCTCCACACTGATTCTCAACACGGGGGCCCGACAACGGTGCGTCCTCAGTGCGCTCCTGTACTCCCTGTATACCACGACTGCGTGACCTCACACAGTTCGCTGATGACACAACAGTAGTAGGCCTGATTACCAACAATGACGAGACGGCATACAGGGAGGAGGTAGGCACTCTGACGGTGTGGTGCCAGGTAAACAACCTCTCCCTCAACGTCAGGAAAACAAAGGAGCTGATTGTGGACTTCAGGAGGAACCAGGCTGGGCACACCCCTATCCGCATCAATGGGGTCGCCGTGGAGACAGTCAAAAATGTAAAGTTCCTTGACGTACTCATCTCCGAGGAGCTGTAAACGGTCAAACCACACGGACACCGTGCTGAAGAAGGCACGACAGCGACTTTTCAACCTCAAGATGCTGAAGATATTCGGCCTGTCCCTGAGGGCCCTGACAGTGTTCTACCAGAGCACCATTGAGAGCATACTGTCGGGCTGAATCACAGCCTGGTACGGCAACTCCACTGCCGTGGACCCCAAGGCACTACAGAGGGTGGTATGCTCAGCAAAACTCACCATTGGGTCCACACTGCCTGCCCTCCAGGACACCTACAACACCAGACCATCAAGCTGCTGAATAGCCACCACTAGTCAGCTACCATACCTACTCCCCCTGTCCCCCCGGACATTTACCCTGCACCCACCCCAATGGACATTTATCATTGCCACAGTTTTAATTTTTATTATATTTGTCATTTTTTATTTAACATTGTCCTACATTGTTGGAGCTAGGAGCTCAATAATTTCACTGTACCCTGTAATTACAGTACATCTGCAACCCTGTACATGTCACTATTCAACTCTGTAATCGAAATAAATAAAATGGTCAAATGAAATCTGCGATGTACTATTTTTCATACTATTTACTATAGCAGTGCATACTAGTGCAAAAAGTGCATACAAATAATAAATCAATAATAAATAAATACAATAAAGAGGCAATGAATCTGAGCTGTCTAACAGTTTAAGGCATAAGGCTATGTTTTATATGGCCATCCACTTAACATTAACATTCAAGAGCATCAAGTTTGTGACGGTGTGCTATAGAACTGTCATCATTCATTCTTATGATAATTGATCTCCTGAAGAAGCTATCCATTTTCCTTTCTTTCTGTGCCCCCAAAGGTTTGGATATACTGGTAAAGTTATCAGGTTCTTAGCTAGCTAGCTAGCTAGCTAGCTAATGAGGTAACATACATGACTGAAAAAGGTGTAAAATAAATGGTTAACAACCCGCAAATAGTTTAAGAACAGCCCACAACATGGTTTATGAATGTAAAATGCGGCCCCTCAATCCTCAACAGGAGGAAAAAAACATTGCGCCGGTAAAATATGGGTCAGATCATTGAACTGTTTGGGCTAGAAATAATACGTTTTCGCTGTAGTAATGGTGTAAGCATGACGCTAACGAATCTGCGCTTAGGAAACAACAGTAAAGCGAAGCCTTATAATTACAACAATTATTGTTTAAAAAAATGGTACTCAGAATTAAAACTGCAGGTCGCAGAGCAAAATATCGCACACCAAATTGGTCGCACTTTAGAGCCCTGGTCACATGGTAAGGAAAAACTCAGGAGCCCGAAGAATCCCAAATATAACCAGTGTTCTTTTCTTCTTTGTAAATCACTTGTATTGGAGTGACTTCAATATTATGTTTATTATTGTGAAAGGAATCAATATAGGAGTCTAATAAAAAATAACCTGTGTACAGACAGAGTTTGAACTTTGAACCCACCAATGTCTTTTGCCCTTGCAGCGACCGGTCTCCTGAGCTCAGCCACAAACTTCTTGGCATCCAGGCGTATCTCGATGATGTTGTTGAGCAGGGCGAACAGTGGGGCCAGCGGAAACGACGCCACGAACAGGGTCACAAACCCAAACTGGATTACTGCAAGGACACAGAGATACATTGCCTTCAGAATGTATTCACACCCCTTTACTTTATCCACATTTTGTTGTGTTACAGCCTGAATTTAAAATGGATTCAATTGAGATTTTGTGTCACTGGCCTACACACAACACCCCATAATGTCAAATTCATTAAAAATGAAAAGCTGAAATGTCTTGAGTGAATAAGTATTCAACCCCTTTGTTATGGCAAGGCTAAATAAGTTGAGGAGTAAAAATTTGCCGGACTCACTCTGTGTGCAATAATAGTGTTTAACATTATTTCTGAATGACTACCTCATCTCTGTACCCCACACTGTATGGTCCCTCAATCGAGCAGTGAATTTCAAACACAGATTCAACAACAAAGACCAGGGAGATTTTCCAATGCCTCGCAAAGAATGGCACCTATTGGTAGATACGTTTTTTTAAAAAGCAGACATTGAATATCCCTTTGAGCATGGTGAAGTTACTAATTACACTTTGGATGGTGTATCAATACACCCAGTCACTACAAAGATGCAGGCGTCCTTCCTAACTCAGTTGCCGCAGAGGAAGGAAACTGCTCAGGAATTTCACCATGATGCCAATGGTGACTTTAAAACAGTTACAGAGTTTAATGGCTGTGATAGGATGGATCAACTGCATTGTAGTTACTCCACAATGCTAACCTAAATGACAGAGTGAAAAGAAGGAAGCCTGTATAGAATAAAAATCTTCCAAAACATGCATCCTGTTTGCAACAAGGCAATAAAGTACAACTGCAAAAAATGTGGCAAAGAAATGTGCTTTATGTCCTGAATATAAAGAGTTATGTTTGGGGTAAATCCAAAACAACACATCACTGAGTACCACACTTCATATTTTCAAGTATGGTGGTGGCTGCATCATGTTATGGGTATGCTTGTCATCAGCAAGGATTAGGGAGTTCCGTAAATAAACGGAACAGAGCTAAGCAAAGGCAAAATCCTAGAGGAAAACCTGGTTCAGTCTGCTTTCCAAAAGACACTGGGAGACAAATTCACCTTTTATCAGGACAATAACCTAAAACACAAGGCTAAATATACACTGGAGTTGCTTACCAAAACGACATTGAATGTTCCTGAGTGGCCTAGTTACAGTTTTGACTTAAATTGGCATGAAAATCTATGGCAAGACTTGAAAATGTCTGTCTAGCAATGATCAACAACCAACTTGACAGAGCTTGAATAATTTTTTTAATAATAATGTGAAAATATTGTAGAATCCAGGTGTGCAAAGCCCTTAGAGACCCAGAAAGACTCACAGCCGTAATCGCTGCCAAAGGTGATTCTAACATGTATTGACTCAGGGGTGTGAATACTTATGTAAATTAGATATTTATGCATTTAATTTTCAATACCTTTGCTAACATTTCTAAAAACATGTTTTTTACTTTGTCATTATGGAGTATTGAGTGTAGATGGGTGAGATTTTTTATAAATATTTCATCAATTTTGAATTCAGGCTGTAACACAACAACATGTGGAATAAGTCAAGGGGTATGAACACTTTCTGAAGGCACTGTAGAGAGACATCCTATGAATACGGGCCCTGATCACTCATCAAGACTAAACAAATCAAATCAGAAGAGATTATCTGAACCTCACATCACATCACATCACACTGCAGCTAGCTCTGAAACATGCTCATATAAAAGGTTTCTTCCCTCATCACATGTAGGATAACAAGAAACCCTTGAATGACCCTTGTAAATGCATAAATAAACCTAATAAAAATATTTGTTGCATAGTAACAACTTTGACCTTTAGGTAATTCAAAGCAACATCATCCTCATAAGTGGTTAATGTATTGAAGCAGCTGAAAATAATTAAGGTACTAGAGTGGGAGTGGACCAGACTAGACCAGCTCTTCATGGGGCAGGCAGGGACAGGAGACTGAGAGAGGGGGCAGGCAGGGAGAGGAGACTGAGAGAGGGGGCAGGCAGGGAGAGGAGACTGAGAGAGGGGGCAGGCAGGGAGAGGAGACAGAGAGGGGGCAGGCAGGGAGAGGGGACTGAGAGAGGGGGCAGGCAGGGAGAGGAGACTGAGGGAGGGGGCAGGCAGGGAAAGGAGACAGAGAGGGGTCAGGCAGGGAGAGGAGACTGAGGGAGGGGGCCGGCAGGGAGAGAATATGGTGAAGGGGCATGGACATGGGAGGGGGATGGGAGGAGAAGGTGAGGGGCAGGGACAAGTCAGGGATGAGGGAGGGTCAGTTATCAAGGAGGAGAGACTGTGAGGGATGGAAAAGGGATAGGGCCAAGAGGGAGCACGCAGGGACATGGGAGGGGGCAGACTGGGACGCAGGCCCAGAGGAAAGCTGATCGGACCAGAGACCCAGGCTGTAATCTCTACTGACATGGTGCCAACGCATGACCAAGCCCAGAATGTCAGTCTCTCACAACCCCAGTAGTACTCTCTTATGTCACTCCCTACTCCCCCTAGTACCCTGTAATGTCACTCCACCACAACTGCAGCAGTACCCCTAGTACTCTTTGATCCACACAGCAAGGGGAAATTGAATTCACTTCAGACAGGTTTTGCATTCAATCATGCAGGGTCTTTTGCTAATTCTAGTGTTTTCACTGTTAAAGGATTTTGTCAATCTTGACGCTAGCTCTCGTATGATAGGAAAGAAAGAGAGAGAATTCAGAAGCGAAAGGAGAGAGAGAGAGAGAGAGAAGGAGAGAAAGGAGAAGAGAAGAGCACGAGAGAGAGAGGAGAGAAGAGGAGAGAGAGGAGAGAGAGAGAGAGAGGAGAGAGAGAGAGGAGAGAGAGAGAGAGCGAGAAGAGTAGGCGGGAGAGAGAGAGAAGGAGGAGAGAGAGAAGAGAGAGAGAGAGCACGAGACTGACTCTCTCGTATCTCCTCTCGCCTCTCTCTCTTCTCTCCTCTCTCTTCTCTCTCCTCTCTCTTCTCTCTCTCTCTCTCTCTCTCTCTCTCTCTCCCACACCACACACACACACACACACACACACACACACACACAGTTGTGTTCGAGAAGCAGGTGGTCTTCAAAAGCCATGCTAGGTGAAATCTAACACCACTCCTATAATAAATGTGTGGAACTCGGGTGTGACTGGTGAAGGTTTGGACTAATAGGCCTATGGCTGCTGGTTGGGAACATTGGATAAGAACATTCCTTTTAGAATAGCCCTAATGTAGGAGCGTGAAATCTATGTGATGCCATGAAAATGAAGTTACGTGTAAAACTCTCTGAGAATAGACCTACTTAACAGAGAGTCACTGCCACTTCTGAGAGTGAAGTAAGTTAAAAGCCCTGTAACTGGGGTCTTCTGTTGTTTAAAATTATAAGAGTACAGAGAGCAGACAGAACAAACAATGTATGTCTTAAAAGCTGTCTAAACAGTCCTCTTAGATTGCAAATATATGATAATATGAGAGATAAAGACGCAGGATCTTAATTTGAACTAGTTTGCTACAGCAGGAAAATAATCCTGCCGCAACAGGAAATGTTAATTATTATGTGGATGATAATTAAATGGGCATTTTTGTAAGGGTTGATACATTTTTCGAAAGGGAAAAATCAAGTCTGAAATGTCAAAAGTGGAAATTACAAACTTCAGAAGCCTTTTAAACCTCAAATACACAACACTACACGTTTTACATTACCTGTATTGCAGGAAAGTTCTCCTGCAACAGGGTGATCAAATTAAGATCCTACATCTGTAGACAGCGAAAGACAGAGAGAGAGAGAGAGAGAGAGAGAGAGGAGAGAGAGAGAGAGAGAGAGAGAGAGGAGAGAGAGAGAGAGAGAGAGAGAGAGGAGAGGAGAGAGAGAGAGAGAGAGAGAGAGAGAGAGAGAGAGAGAGAGATGGAGCATTCGAGACAGTTGAGAGAGAGAAAGAGAAAGAGAGAGAAGAAGACAGGCAAAGCGAGATGGGGGCCATGGACCAGGGCCATGTTGAGTAAACTACCGGACAGAAGACAAACGACATGTCACGGTGAAAAGAGCCTGATGGAGGATCTGGCAGAGGTGTGCGCCAACAGGAGGATCTGCATAAAACACTGCTGTCTGTCGTGGTGGAGAAGGCCCAGGGTGTAGGTTTGGTACAGAGCAAGGAAGTCATTCATTCAATTAGCTATGTGCTTGGCTTAGGAGCAATTCAATTAAAAAACGGTAACGGGTTTCCAGGATGAATAAAAACAATATTTGTCTAACTCCCACACAATGAGGAAGTATGTTTCTTTTGATATGTTGCTGCTGCAGTTCTTCTTGTTTTGAACATGCACGTACATTTATAGTGACTCTACACACACGCACACCCACTCACATACAACCATTATATACGCTACTGCTACTCTGTTTATCATATATCCTGATGCCTAGTCACCTTACCCCTAAACATATCGACCTCTATCACTCCAGTATGCTTCCAGTATCCTTGTACTGTAAATACGGTACTGGAACTGACTGACCCTGTATATAGTATGCTTACTTACTTTCTTGTGTGTTTTTGTTCTACCTTATGTTATTTTTTGTATTACATTGTTATTGATTACCGCATTTTGGGGTTTAGAGATTGAAAGAAAGACATTTCACTGCACACAACTTTAAACTTGAACATAGCTTTTTTTGAGTACTGTAAATTAATCTAAAACGTCCATAGTTACAGCGCAGGAACAATTATGTTGTTGTCTTAAATCCTCTATATTCTACTCAATCAATGTTACTTTACAATAGTAGTAAACACAAATACAGAATTTGAATAATTTAAAAAACTCGAGATCATATCCCCCAAATCTTTTTTTCCCATACAGCCTTTGCAACACATTATCCAATACCCTGTTAAATATTTAAGTCATAAATATATTCTACTAGCTCATCAGAAGACAGGGGCTCCAATTAACTAGCTGAGGAAAAAGGCCTGTGGATCTCTCATCCATTAATTGTGTCCATCTTTGACATTTGCTAAAGCCAGCCACCTGAGGTTTCATCAGGATTCAAGTCAATACAAAATAAAAGCCATCTCCATCTAATTCTTTAATCAATCTATTCACATCTGCCGGTTTGAAGCTGGGGCCAAAATCAGTACAGTGACAGTCTAAAAAGCTTTGCTTGTTTGATGCAATTAATTGACTCTCGTTTCTCAACCAACATGAAGGCCTATCAAAATTCTCTCACGACAGGGGTTACATCTAAAGATCTCCATAACAACAAAAACAAGGCTGTTTGTTTTATTCATCACAGTGTCTCACTGGTCCTCCGGCCAACAGAAATAAACCAGAAATGACTAAGTAGAGACCCCTGTCCTCACAGTTTCCACAACTTTTACTGTGTCACTTCCTGTTGACATGACAGTGTTCCAGGCCGAATACATTGCAGTCACACTGCACGCATCAACCAAAGGGCTGTGTGGCACGTCATCGACTGCTCAGTCGGGAACCCGGGCATGAGATTGCTATATCATATGATGTGATTAGCTGAGTTGTTAAACACCTATCCAGGTGCTATGAGATCTGTTATGCGACTGCAAAATAGTCTACCTAGAATGCTACCATTCCGCTGACCTTGAAAGGGACCTTCTTCCACCTGTTGTGACACTTTGAACGAAGGTGCCAACTAACCAGCTTGTGGATTGCGCTACCAGTGTTCCTTCACATGTTATCACCTTTGAGGATAACATGTATCAAAGCATTACAGTGATATTGTCCTACACTCTTAGAAAAAAGAACATAAAAGTGTTCTCCGGTTGTCCCCTTAGGATAACACTTTGAAGAACCCTTTCTGGTTCCAGGTAGAACTCTATTGGGTTCTATGTAGAACCCTTTCCCCAGAGGGTTCTACATGGAACTCAAAAGAGTTCTACCTGGAACCAAGAAGGGTTCTACGTGGAACCAAAAACATTTATCCTATGGGGACAACCGAAAAAAACCCTTTTGGAACACTTTTTTCTAAGAGTGTACCACTAGTATGTGATAAAATTCAACATGGGAATGGAACTTGCTTCACAGTTGAGTCTATTTCTGACCATTGCCCAGTTGAATTGCCATGGCAGAGTTGTGTAGTGTGAAATATCTGCCATACTAAAAACATGTACCGGGTCACAGTGCAGCAGCAGACTGGGTTTGGTTTAACCACACCTAGAGGTCAGGAAACAATTCCCTCACAACTCAATTGGAACATACAGGAGAAAAATAAATGCTGTTGTTACCTCGCTTTCAAACCAAGGTGAATGAAAAATGGAACAAACTGAACACACAAAGCAGAGAAAGCAGACTCACTCATCTCCATGTACTCTGGCGTGAGGCCTGCGAAGGGCTCTAGGAAGTGGTCTGTCTCATAGCGCTGCAACTTCTTCTCCCTCTCCTCTTCCTGGAAGGACCTTCTCTTAGACTTGATGTACCTTATCAACTTCTTCAGCTTCCTGCACACAATGGAACACAATTATAAGACGCCATACAGTATATAGCGCAGTTACAGACAGGGACACAGTTACAGACAGGGACACAGTTACAGACAGCGACACAGTTACAGACAGCGACACAGTTACAGACAGCGACACAGTTACAGACAGCGACACAGTTACAGACAGCGACACAGTTACAGACAGCGACACAGTTACAGACAGCGACACAGTTACAGACAGCGACAAAGTTACAGACAGGGACACAGTTACAGACAGCGACACAGTTACAGACAGCGACACAGTTACAGACAGCGACACAGTTACAGACAGCGACACAGTTACAGACAGCGACACAGTTACAGACAGCGACACAGTTACAGTCAGAGCCAAAGGCAGGCAGTGGCACAGGAACATAGTCACAGTCAGGGACAGGGACAGGAACACAGTCATGATTTGGGATCATATCAGCATAGAAAACGACTTATGGGACTGGCATTTGCATCCTTGATATGCAGACTTTGTTTTGTAGTGTGTGTGATGAGGCTGGCGTGTGCGCGTGTGTGTGTGTACTCACGGGATGCCGATCTCAAATAAATTGTTCTGGATGAGTTGCTTTCCCAACATGGTGATACTGAGCTGAATACACAACTCCATCAGACATCCTCCATGAGCACACTGCAGAGAAAAAAAACACTAGTTAAATACTTCCGTACTGTCCCACACTTCCATTATAGAAAGACTAACATGATAAAAGACAAATACTAAGGATGGGATTCAATCCAACCCAGATTTAAGACTTCCTCACAGCAATACACTTTTAAAGGCAATTTCCCTGACATTCACAGAGACCGAAGTTCACTGTAAACGTTGCGTATCGGCTCAAGAGAGACAATCGTAGTGCACAAGTCGTTTATCTATTTTTGATTGAATCCCAGCCTAACACTGTTTTAGCGTTTTGATTGACAGCTTGAAGAGGGCAGCACTTGAATTATACAGATTTATTTTGAATATGTGAACTCCGAATTTATGTTCCTATGTTAACTAACAGTGTTTAATTCGTAGCCATCTGCTCTTAATAACATTATACTTCATTATGCAATGTGATGAAATTAATGAAAATTAAATATACCTGTATAACATGGCAAATAATTAATTATTTTTTTCCTTCCTTTACTGTCTTAGATAAATCTTTAACAAAAATCTTTAACAAAAAAAAAGTTCTCAGAGACTAAGAGGAGGTATTATAGTAAAAGTTTTTAACCTCTTCCATGCGGTACGACTCAAACACATAAAGATAACTTCCAGGTCGTCCAACAAGCCTGTATGAGGAGACATAATGAAGGAAGTTGGGAGAGACAACACTGAGAGAAACCCTACTACCTCTCACTGACAGATTGTGTCATTAAAATAGCATAACATAACATGACATGACATAACATAGTATAGCATGCATAGCATAGCAGAATAGCATAGCATAACATAACATAAGCTCATACAGAACAATTGAGAGTAGAGAAAGAAACTGCGGGGACTCACCTGCCTCTGAAGAATGCTATATATATGATGGGAGTAAAGGCATTCACAAACTTCAGGATGAACGTTTTGAATATCAACCTCTCCTCAAAGCTCTTGTCTGTCTTTGGGACCTCTGAGAAAACAGACAGTAGTTATTCAATAACTTATAAGGCCATTGCTGCTGGAGACATGACTTGAAAGAGAATAGTAGGATCTGTACAAGGCCTATAGAGAAAGAGGAGTGTTAGAGTGTTCTGTATAAGCACTTTGTGACATCTGCTAATGTAAAAAGGGCTTTACAAATACATTTGATCGATTAGGAAATTACACTGCATTCAGTACACCAAATGACTGTACGTTTGTTGTCACTTAGATGCAAATACATTTTGGAGCTATTTTCAGTTGAAAAGGTAGGGTTGTACAGTGATGCAGTACATTGGCATGTTGTTAGAAATGGCCCCCAAAAGCCTTGCTAGTGGTGATTTACAGCTAATAGGGAAGTTGGCAGACTGTCAATGCAAAATGCACAAAAATACACACTTTACTTTCTGTAAATGGGTCTTGCCCTAGGAATTTTTCTAACAAGTTGTCAGACTGACCTAGGACACTGATAAATAGAACCCAAAAAGCCTTGTTGATAGCTAAGTTAGGAACAGTCTTTAAAAGCACATTAAAAGTGCTATATCCATGTATTATTATTACAGTTTTGGAATTAGGTTGTCAGGCTGACGTCCCAAGGACATGCAAAGACAGGGTATCTATCTTTCTTCCATGACTTGATTTTGTATACCATGTACTCTACTTGCGAGTTACTGGATGTACATGCACTACTTCTGTACAAGTTGTCAGACCTACCGAGGACGGTGAGCCAGCGGGCGACGGCTCCGTAGACCTCATCCAGGATCAGAATGACCACTAGGTTGATGATTGCGGCAGTGGTTTTGACCGTCAGACGGACGTTGGACCGCGTCGTGGGGTTGTTGCTCATGTGCAGCGCTGCCTTGGTGGAGATCCGGTAGAGGATGACCCCGAACACTATGGCAAACGTCACCCCGATCTGGGAAGAGGAGACAGGGATAAGGCCTCCCAACAACGTCAATACTGGTAGGTTTGGTTTCGAGAATCTGTTCCAGCATACCGTCAAACGCTTATGTACAGTATCATCTGTCACACTGTTTAGGAATTGTAGGTCTAAGCCCTTAGATCACAGTATCTACTAAGCTAATATATGGAATTGTTTTAATATGGTAATAAAATGTATAATTTATCCATTTGATTTAGAATAGTAGGACCCCTGTAGGTCTAAAAAAAGATGTATACGAAAAATATTTGATGAAACATTGAATTTGGCCTTTACTGCTATAGCCCATAGAAACGCATTGAATAACACATTTAATGCGTGGCAAAACAGACAGTCAAAAAATAAATCATAAGGAATAAGGTTTCAAAGTGTCTGTCCTATATCTGAGATATATAAGAAAACGCAGGGGGAAAAATGTTTAGACCCATGTTTACATTTGACCCCCTATGCACTTTTTGCCATTTTTATAGCCAGATACTGGGTTACCTTCAGACGACTCCCCTGAAGCCGACACCTTCGTGAGAGTCTCCCCTTTCGATATTAGTGACATATTAGTTTGTAGCTCCAACGGTTCGGTCTGGAGAGTCGGTTTTGTGAGAAAACCTATTCGAAACGAGGACGTCCACAACGAGTGTTCAGATGACTGCCGTCAAGCTTTTGGATGTAGTAGAGCCAAACCACCGACCATGTCGTATTCATGAGTCGCATCTGTCAATGGCGGTGACTTATTAGTTTGTAGCTCAAACGTTCAGGTTTTACGGACGATTTTCTTGTCCGGAACCTCTCATGTGTAGAAAAATACCGCTTTCACAAGCCCAATGTTATGGAATAGGCACAAACTTTATATCGGCGGAAAGAGGGCTGCAGCCACTACAAAAAACGTTAAGTCTATAGCATAAACACACAGGAAGCTATTCAATATTCAAAATGACGTCATTTTTTACGCACAAGTGCTTCAATCGACTCTTTATTTGATGAACAATGTACAGTATTAGAAGTCTTTACAATGCATGTGGTTCGATCTTAAATGCCTCTTGGCAGTTGTGCTTTGCTAAGTGTGTTGGACTCACCATCAGGAGCATCATGACTATGTTGATCATGTATGCTGGTAACCGGTCTCTGCACGTTAGCTTTTCTTTTTCAGTCTAAAAGAAGGGATAAAATATTAAGATCTATAGAGGTCTAGCCAAGTGTACTGTTACTGTTTGTATGTGGAAAATAACATAACCAGTCAGCAGAAGAATCCAAACAGCGATGGATGGAGAGGCGAAAAGCTGGTGTTTTGATGCTGACAAACCATTACACAGAAATAAACGTTTCACACTGAATTATTCAAGCCTGGAAGTCAAGACGACTGTGTTCCAACAGTTTATTCACTATATTTCAAGCATTTAGTCATTCATCATTCTCATCATTCCATTCTTTATGCAGCAAATCTCAGTCAGAACATGATTGTGTCTGAAGTGGCACCCTATTCCCTATATAGTGCACTACTTTCGACCAGAGCCCTGTAACAAGCCCTATGGCATCGGTCAACAGTATTGCACAATACATGGAATGGGGTGCCATTTTAGACGGAGCCAAGTCAATGAAGAGGTCAGCACCTTCCAGCAGCCATTTTGGAACAGAACAGGCTAACATGCTGTCTATGGAATTACAAGAAAACAAACCATACAGTCTCAATCTCATTACCAGAACATTACAACATGCACCAAACACCAGGCACTATCACTATGGCGATCCAAGCACTATCACTATGGAGAATTCAGATTCAAGTTACACAGAAAAGAACAACAACCAATCAAAGAACAAGAAAGTCAAGAAAGAAGAAAGTGAGAACGTGCACTGGTTCTGACAGACGGTGACAGAGTGTGTGTATGTGCATGAGTTTGTGAGTTTGTGTGTGTGTGTGCATGCATGCGCATGTGTGTGTGTGAGAGAGAAAGTGCATGTGTGTGTGTGTGTGGGGGGGGGGGGGGGGGGGGTCTTAGTGAGGGAGCTGTTTAGGTCAAATGGACAGAGACGTCAAGTCACATCTTACTATAACACTTATACGCCATTTGTACTTTATTCGGGAATTGTTGTGAAAATGTGCAGTCATCAATCAACATGCTTCACAGACAAAAGAGCAGTTTCTCTCTATTCATTGAAATAGGCCAAACGGAGGTGTGTGAGGAGTCCACACACACCTCCATTTGGCCCATTTCAGTTAATAGTGTGTGTGTATGTGTGTTGTCTGTGGACCCAACCCAAGTGTATGTATGAGATGATTGGGCTTGTCTTGGACAGGATAGTACAGTGTGTGTGTGGGATAGGTGTGGGGGGAGGCGAGGACACTAAAAGTACCAGTTTAAGCCCAGCCATGGCAGATTGAACTGTTTGCTTCCATTTGTTTGTGGGTTCTTCTGCTATCTCTGTAGGCTTCATACAGTCAGAGGACACAAACACAGCAACCCACAAGACAAAGAGGTATAAGAAGACAAGACAAAACACACGCTAGTCATGTAAAGGCGTAAAGACTGCTATAAGACATACAATCTCACTGCAGTCTTTTAAGACCTGTGTGCTACGAGTGTCACATCAATCTACCACAGCAGAGGATGAATCATTGTGTAAGAGGCAAACACTTTTCCAAACATGAGTCAAGAAGAGACTGCGAAGCAAATTACAAAAGAAGTTGGATGACAGTCAAAAACCAAACCAGCAGCATAAAATCTAAATGGTTCGCTAGCTAAAGACCCAGGAATAAGCAATCAGTACCTTCTGTGTCTTGTGTTCTTTCTTCAGGGACTTCTGCATGACGCGGAACTCGTACTCAGCTCGTGGGTGGTCCTAAGGATGTAATAGAGGCAGAGGCACTTAACACTGTATGGGGACTGACTGGGACCCATAAAATACTCCCATCAGATGCAGAATTTAATACAGCTGTTAAGGATGTCACTGTCCGTCCAACTGGGGACAACAAACTTGGTGTTGAGGTGAGGTTATAAAGTCAAGTCAAGTTCTACAGTACAGAGTAGGTAGAAGATTTTCAAAGACTACAGTTGCTGTTCCCCAGTCAGGTTCTACCTATTTCTACTGAGATGGGTAGAACATTTTCACAAAGGCTGCAGTTGCTGCTGGTCTCGAGCAGCATGGATCTTTGCAGAGGAGACAGGTCAGGGAGACCGAGAGAGGACTGGCTAGGCCAGGAGATTGTGAGCTGGTGAGCTGGACCTGGCATCCGACTCAGAGGAGACAGGATGTTTCAGGTGCTGTAAGCAGGCCAGAAGCAGTGGCCATTAAGGTTGTAAAATTCCCAGGTTTTATACAGCAACCCCAGTTGGAAGTTAGCAGAATTTTGCAACCCTAGCTGGCATTCAGAGAAGGAGTGGTGGTTCAATGGGTAGTGGTAGTTTGTGGGTGCTTTAGGAGGGCGTGAAGGTGTCCGTGGACAGTCTGAAGAAGAAGAGCCAGTGTGGGGGTAGCAAAGCCAGATGGTGATCGAGGGGGGAAAGGATATTTGTGTAAAATGAAATGTTCCAAACCTTCAGCTCTTCCTGTAGGTACCCACGGGGGAAAGAGGAGGACAAGAGAGTTACAAAAATCTCTCAACCTTGAAATCTTTTTGAAAAATGGACTTGAAGACAAAAATGTCTGTCATGGTCTATTGTGCCAGTTATTATTGTCTCCAAATAAAACAACACTGACAAGACAACTGAAATATAGTTATATTGCATTTTCTCTTCTATTCAGTTTTCTATGGCTAGTGATGGAATTATGAATAATGAACTATTATGTGGAGAAAATATTACTGGGCAGTAATAACAGTATTTTGAAACAAACTCACTGCGTTATTTGGTCAGTCTATAGCAGGACTCTCCAACCCTGTTCCTCGAGAGCTACCATCCTGTAGGTTTTCACTCCAACCCTCATCTAGCACACCTGATTCTAATAATTAGCTGGTTGAAAAGCTGAATCAGGTCGGTTACAACTGGGGTTGGAGTGAAAACCTACAGGAGGGTAGCTCTCCAGGAACAGGGTTGGACAGCCCTGGTCTACAGTATGGTGCTCCCATTCACAAACAAATAGTAGTGAAATGCTAGACTAACTGGAGAGCACTCACCTCCTCCTCCTCAAAGCCTGTTAGATCCCATTCATAGTTGAGACGCATCTGTCTTCTCTTCCAGTGCTCCATGAACATGGCAGCTGCAGAAACACAACACGGTTAAGAGTTACGCTAAGAGCCCCTTGAATGCATGAAGAACATAATCCACAATATCAACAAGATTGTCAGTCCTTGCATCTAGAGTGCTGTCTATGAATTTGAGAAGGGTTACATGTCCAAAGCCTCATCCCTCAGCTGTATACCAAAAAAAGTGATGGGGCTGCTGTTTTGATGTTTTTCAAATCCCAGACTGTACAGTTTCGTGCAAATTTACAGTAATTCTATCTCCATAAAGCATTCATTTTTATTCTGTCGTTTTTTCAACATTGGGTAGATTATGCGGAACGTTTTGTGGCTATGAGTCCTGTATAGCTCAGTTGGTAGAGCATGGTGCTTGCACCGGCAGGGTTGTGGGTTCGATTCCCGGGGCCACCCATATATTAAATTTATGCATACATGACTGTAAGTTGTTTTGGATGAAAGTGTCTGCTAAATGGCATATATTATATATTCTATTAGTTATTATCAGTGACCCTGGCAGTCCAATTATGGTTCCTCAGCCAGACCAGAATGATAATGTGTGTGGTATAATAAAGGTTCTAAAATTAAGATTGCAGTGATCAATTATTACATGTATAATGAGCAAAATGATCAATTGCCACGTGCAAGGGATGAGGGGCTAAATGTGTCGCTAATTCAATGAATTTAGTGTGGAAGTGACATTGATTGAAGGTAGGTATTTTCTAGTCTAGTGGGAAAGCAAGGGCGGTGGCAGTCTATATGCAGACAGGCACCTGGGGGCGATAACATGTTCTACATTTCATCCATATAATGTTCATCCATGAAAGCGTATTGGCAAGAGTGGATAAACGAGACTGGATGAGCGAGACTGGATGAGTGAGACTGGATGAGTGAGACTGGATGAAGGTGACATCACTACTATACTGTTTCCCATAGTGTTGACGTTGAGTGATTGAATGAAAAAATAAGCCCTATGTGGAGTATGACAACATATACAGGTATCTGACTACATTAGGGATGCTGGTATGTACATTTGTGGATAACCAAAACATAATTTCTGGTCACAATATTGACTCAGACAACAGAGGCAGGGAGGGCATACAGACATTTATCAAAAAATATGTCTCATTTATTTACTTCAGTGGTCTGAAAAGGCCTTTATAATGGCAGCTTTAATCCTCCATATTTCACACACTAAGTTGTTCTACTAAAACTAGAGACCCTGAGATGTACAGGTGAGGAGTTTGCAATTTTGTGAGTTTGCAAAAAGTAATCGTCAGATTTGAATATGACCCAGTAGAATAACTAAATGCATGAGGATGTTGTATTTGGTTAATTGTTTTCCATGTCCTTTGAGAACAATATGTTCTATCCAAGTAGATCCAGTAATACACTACTTCCTGCTTCCAACAGTGAGGGACGCCAGTTGCATCACTCTTTCACTAGTTGCATAACAATGACACAACATACTGTAACACTTGAACTGTATACTATAATGCCTCATCCACGCCTATCATATCACTACCAGATGATAACGTCCAGTAGGGAAAATAACACACACACACACACACGCACACACATTAAACCGCAAATAAATCCCAGGGCTGAACCCGTGCCCTCATATAGTGCTCCAGTCTATGGCTTCCTGCCTTCAGTCTCAGGCCTCGCAGGCCCAGCCTTACTGTGACACTGAACAGAGCATAGGAATGCACCACAAAAAAAGCCCATTTTTAAAGGGAACGTGGTTTAATCCACATAGTAAGACACTGTACAGTCTAGTCTACACGGCTTAGTGCTTCTTGGACAGTGATGGAGGAGAGAGACAGAATGAGAGAAAGAGTAGAGGAGAGAGCCAGAACGAGAGAAAAGAAAGAGAGAATAGTGGATGCAGATGGTCGGAAATGAACAGAGGAAAGAAAGAGGACAACTGGGAGACTAAACATCTGGAAGAACAAAATAGATGGAGCTGAGAGAGAGCAGAGAGAATGAGTGAGAGGAGTTAGTCCTATTGTTTGGAGAAGTCATGTGTGGCTCAGTCGCTACCAATGCCAAGGCCGTAGGTTCACTTCCTGCAGGGATCACATACACGCGCTAAAAACGTATGCATTGTACTGTTAGTCGCAGGTGGGATGTGTACAGAGGAAATGGTCTGTCTAACTGTGCCCTATAAGCATAAAACTCTCCATATTCAAACACTTTGGATAAACACGTCTGCTAAGTGACATATATCATTAATATTGTTATTATTACTAAAGTTGAGACGGTTGTGCAATTCTGTTGTGTGGACTACGGATAAAAATTAGCTGTCTAGTTAAATCCGGCACTGTTACATTAGTATCATCTGAAATAAGCCTTGTCCAAGCCAGAACGGCCCATAGGTCAGGAGCCTATTTCCTGTTTTTGTAGTGTGAGGCATCTTGATGTACAAGTACACCCCATGGACAGGATGCTAGTCTATCGCTGGGCTTCACAGTACCATCTGAGTTGTTGATTATTGAGTATTATCCCCGTTAAATAAATCATAGAAATACATAAATAAAGTTGTGCTGTTCTGTTATGTTGTGTCGACAAGCCTCAGCCTCTTACCCCAGAGGGCCATGAAGATGGAGAAGAAGACAGTGGCAGGGTTGTCAAATAGGTGGCTGGCCCGGGCCGTCCCGCAGGCTTCCTTCAGTTTCCAGTAGCTACAGGCTCTGTCACACAGCGGGCACATGGTGATGTTGTTCCTGGGGTGGCATATCTCCATGCTGTAGAGATGGTGGGAGGGAGATGTAGAGGGAGACAAACAGTCAGCCCTCTTTATCTCATTACCACCAGTGGATGTTATTAGGCCAGCCTGTTAAGCCAGTGTTTCCCCTATATTCTTTCACTGCTAAATCGTTGCCGCCACCCCCCACAAACATTATTTTAATTGTTATTTATTTTTATATATATACTGTATTTCTGCCGAGACGCTCTTTTAAAGGGATAGTGCGAGATTTTAGCAATGAATCCCTTTTTCTATTTCCCCAGAATGGATACCCATGGATACCGTTTATGTCTCTACATGCAGTTCAAAGGAAGTAGCTAACTAGCATTAGTGCAATTACTAACTAGCATTAGCGCAATGACTGGAAGTCTATGGGAACAGCTGTTAGCTGTTCCTGTAGACTTCCAGTCATTGCGCTAGTGTTAGTTAGCAATGGCTCTCGAAAACTACCTTTAACTTCCTTCAAACTGCACGCAGACACAAACAAATGGTCTCCATGAGTTCATATTTTTATTTTTTTTATTTTTTTTATTTCACCTTTATTTAACCAGGTAAACCAGTTGAGAACAAGTTCTCATTTACAACTGCGACCTGGCCAAGATAAAGCAAAGCAGTGCGATAAAAACAACAACACAGAGTTACATATGGGGTAAAACAAAACAAAGTCAAAAATACAACAGAAATACATATCATATACAGTGTGTGCAAAGTTAGCAAGTTATGGAGGTAAGGCAATAAAATAGGCTATAGTGCAAAATAATTACAATTAGTATTAACACTGGAATGATAGATGTGCAAGAGATGATGTGCAAATAGAGATACTGGGGTACAAATGAGCAAAATAAATAACAATATAGGGATGAGGTAGTTGGGCGGGCTAATTTCAGATGGGCTGTGTACAGGTGCAGTGATCGGTAAGGTGCTCTGACAACTGATGCTTAAAGTTAGTGAGGGAGATAAGTGTCTCCAGCTTCAGAGATTTTTGCAATTTGTTCCAGTCATTGGCAGCAGAGAACTGGAAGGAATTGCGGCCAAAGGAGGTGTTGGCTTTGGGGATGACCAGTGAGATATACCCGCTGGAGCGCAGACTACAGGTGGGTGTTGCTATGGTGACCAATGAGCTAAGATAAGGCGGGGATTTGCCTAGCAGTGATTTATAGATGGCCTGGAGCCAGTGGGTTTGGCGACGAATATGTAGTGAGGACCAGCCAACAAGAGCGGTGGGTATTATATGGGGCTTTGGAGACAAAACGGATGGCACTGTGCTAGACTACATCCAATTTGCTGAGTAGAGTGTTGGAGGCTATTTTGTAAATGACATCGCCGAAGTCAAGGATCGGTAGGATAGTCAGTTTTACGAGGGCATGTTTGGCAGCATGAGTGAAGGAGGCTTTGTTGCGAAATAGGAAACCGATTCTAGATTTAACTTTGGATTGGAGATTCTTAATGTGAGTCTGGAAGGAGAGTTTACAGTCTAACCAGACACCTAGATATTTGTAGTTGTCCACATACTCTAGGTCAGACCCGTCGAGAGTAGTGATTCTAGTCGGGTGGGCGGGTGCAAGCAGCGTTCGGTTGAAGAGCATGCATTTAGTTTTACTAGTGTTTAAGAGCAGTTGGAGGCTACTGAAGGAGTGTTGTATGGAATTGAAGCTCGTTTGGAGGTTTGTTAACACAGTGTCCAATGAAGGGCCAGATGTATACAAAATGGTGTCATCTGCGTAGAGGTGGATCTGAGAGTCACCAGCAGCAAGAGCGACGTCATTGATATACACAGAGAAAAGAGTCGGCCCAAGAATTGAACCCTGTGGCACCCCCATAGAGACTGCCATAGGTCCAGACAACAGGCCCTCCGATTTGACACATTGAACTCTATCTGAGAAGCATGGGCGGTGTGTTCAATAGGGCGATATGGGCGACGCACTGCCAAACGGGAAAAGGAAGGGATTTTTTTTCTAATCAATTATATCATGGCAACAGTAGTTCAGTGTTCACGTCTGATCTGCCAGCCACTAAATGTCCAATCAGGCTAAAGTCGTGCTTCAAATGTCCCCGCCCGTTTTGGGGCGATTTCAGTCAGGTTGAAAATCGCCCAGAAGTCTCTCATAGCCTCTAATGTAAAATATTTTTTTTTCAAATTTCTGAGCTTTCAATACATTCTCTATGGGTGTCTGAGGGCTTGCACTTACGCGCTTTCGTCATACGTAACGTAACGTAACCATGAACGGCAGACAGCAACGCTTGGACAGCGACTGGTGTAACCGACATGCACCATCTTTCAGAAAAGATTAAGAAAAATGAGCTGTCAAAGACCCACATTGATAGCTGTTTGAGATTGTCTGCTTTGGTGAGAGTGAATATTGCCACTCAACTGGATGAGGGATACAGGCTAGCTGTCCGCCGCCACAACGATGAGGTTAGCAACAGCAGAGTCGTGAACACTGTCTACGAGAATCGAGACGACCTCATAGAATGTTTTGAAGCCATCCGGACGGGTTCATTGGGTTCATTTGACCAGCCCACCGTACCAGAAGCTACAGAATAAGGACATCGATGCTGTCTTTATCAAACGTGCCCTCGACAGCTTCGCAAGCAGTGTGCAGGCCATAAGGTAAGATAAAGATTAAACAATATCATTCGATCTTTCTCAAAGCAGAGCTTTATTTGAAAATGTATGCATGAAAGGAGACTGCATTTGTGTTTGAAATTACATTATTGTCATTATATATGGCCAGTGGTGTAATCTATCTTATTTTATATACTATGTGTACTGTACAGTGGTGCTCATAAGTGTATGAACACATTCTAAAGCTGACTAAAAAGAGGAATAAAAAAATAAAAAAATCATCTTTTGGAAATTGATCTTAATGACTTAATTAAAAAAGTTGGAAAATCCAACCTTTAAGGACACCAATTTTCTTTTCTTTTTTATTCCTCTTTTTAGTCAACTTTAGCATGGGATCATAAGCTTATGAGCACCACTGTATACTGTGCTGAACATCCAGGCTATGTGAGACACAAAGGCTAACTTAAACACTAAAGACTTTATGCATCCCTGCCCATTTTAAGTGGAACTGAAGTATTTGTACTATACATGGATACATTGCATATACCTGTGCATCACATAGACAACAATACTGTACAAAGCCAACAAACACATTGGTCTGTTTGCCTTCAGGGACTCCTCTCAACAGCAGCTGCAAGAAGCAACAGGAGCCAAAAGACCCAGAACAGCTTTGAGAGAAGAGGAGAAGCAGAGGCTGTCTGAAGAGGTCTGCAACACCATCCTGGATCACACCAAAGAAAGGTTCTCTTTCTCTGGCCACCTTGTGAGTGTTACCTTACTGCAAGCAGACATGTTTGAAAGGTACTGCCATTCAAAAAAATAAAAAATCTGTTCATGTTCATTTTTACAAATCTATACAATTGGCCAGAATATGGTTGTTCATATTTACAAATCTATACAATTGGCCAGAATATGGTTGTTCATTTTTACAAAGCCATACATATTGTTTATGCAGTGTTGAGGAATGTATCTGAGAAGTAGTTGGTGAACCAGGCGAGGCAGTCATTTGAGAAACCAAGGCTATTTAGTCTGCCAATAAGAATTGCGGTGGTTGACAGAGTCGAAAGCCCTTGGCCAGGTCAATGAAAACGTCTGCACAGTACTGTCTATTATCGATCGCGGTTATAATATCGTTTAGGACCTTGAGCGGTGGCTGAAGTGCACCCATGACCAGCTCGGAAACCGGAATTGCATAGCGGAGAAGGTACGGTGGGATTCGAAATGGTCGGTGATCTGTTTGTTGACTTGGCTTTCAAAAACTTTTGAAAGGCAGGGCAGGATGGATATGGGTCTGTAACAGTTTGGATCTAGAGTGTCACCCCCTTTGAAGAGGGGGATGACCGCGGCAGCTTTCCAATCTCTGGGGATCTCAGACGTTACGAAAGAGAGGTTGAACAGGCTAGTAATAGGGGTTGCGACAATTTCGGCGGCTAGTTTTAGAAAGAAAGGGTCCAGATTGTCTAGCCCAGATGATTTGTAGGGGTCCAGATTTTGCAGCTCTTTTAGAACATCAGCTGTCTGGATTTGTGTGAAGGAGAAGCGGGGGGGGCATGGGCAAGTTGCAGCGGAGGGTGCAGAGCTGGTGGCCGGGGTAGTGGTAGCCAGGTGGAAAGCATGGCCAGCCGTAGCAAAATGCTTGTTGAAATTCTCGACTATTGTAGATTTACACTTTACAGTGTCCCAAAACTTTTTGGAGTTAGTGCTACAGGATGCAAATTTCTGTTTGAAAAAGTTAGCCTTTGCTTTCCTAACTGCTTGTGTATATTGGTTCCTAACTTCCCTGAAAAGTTGCATATCGCGGGGGCTATTTGATGCTAATGCAGTACGCCACAGGATGTTTTTGTGCTGGTCAAGGGCAGTCAAGTCTGAGGAGAACCAGGGGCTATATCTGTTCTTAGTTCTGTATTTTTTGAATGGGGCATGTCTATTTAAGATTGAGAGGAAACAACCAGGCATCCTCTACTGACGGAATGAGATCGATATCCATCCAGGATACCTGGGCCAGGTCAATTAGGAAGGCCTGCTCGCTGAAGTGTTTTTGGGAGCGTTTGACAGTGATGAGGGGTGGTCGTTTGACCGCGGACCCGTTACGGACGCAGGCAATAAGGCAGTGATCGCTGAGATCCTGGTTGAAGACAGCGGAGGTGTATTTAGAGGGTAAGTGTATTTACTCTGGGTAAGTAATAAAATAGCCATGAGTGCACAGCCACCGTTGGCTCATCATAATTTTTGCACAGTGCAGTGGCACGCATTAGTTATATTTCAGATGGTGTCAACATAATTACATTTTCATGCATTTTGGAGTAGAATGTATTTTTTTTTAAGTCACCAGAAAAAGTCACCAGAAGTGACCTTCTCATAGTCGGCCTACAACCCCCCCTCTCCTCCCTGCTACCTTTTCCACCAATGCTGAAAAAAATCCTAGGAGAAACATTGCAAGTTATAGGGACTTTTGACTTCTATAGATCTAATATATTATAATATTATACAGAGTATTGAATAAACAATTGTAACAATTCTGAATGTACACCTGCCCTCCACCCCAGTGCTTTCAAATAAATCTCAGAGTTCGCTGAAGCGACTATTGATGAAAATATTTACACAATAACGTCAGGGATCTGGATTGTGTAGTTTAGTTAGGTCTAGTCTCACGAGCCAGGCTCTCAACACAGTAGAACGCTGGAGCTCGAGGCTAAGTCAAGTATATTCAGTTCTTGTGAACTCCAGTGGCAGAGAATTGAGACACAGACAGCAGAGTGTGTCGAACTCTCCTGACTGTTACGAGAGACGTTAGACAGGGGTGAAGCTTCAGCTCGCCTTGTCATCTATTCTACATCAACCAGATGTTGGTCGTTAGAAATCACCTATTCTGTCTCCGTAGAGGAACACATTTCCTTGTTTCCTTTTTATAGTTCTGGACTGCCAAGCTTAAAGCAGCAGGCAGCAGGCAGCAGGAAAGTGACCTGGTCTATCTTGTCAATACTTTATTAAACTGCATTATTTATGTTGGCAGGAAGTGAAGTGATTTAAGATGTTAGTTACGAGCCAGAAGGTAGGGACAGAGATACAGCGCAGGACAGGTATTCTGAACTGGAATCAAGGTGATGACAATGAACGCAGAATTTATGGATTTCAGTGTATTTTCAAAGTATTGGATATAAATCATTTATCGGTTTGTTATAAATTACCATAATAAATATACTGTTAAACCTCTGTCTTAATTAAGTATTGAATACAAACCGTTTAAATGTCTGTTTGTTCTATCTTTGGCCTGGCTTCAAGTTGTGCAGTTGTCAGTTACCATGGCACAGTTCCTCTGTACTGTGTGTTACCATCCCACTGTAAACCACTCTACAGCCTAAAGCTGTCTGCCACAATATTTGAAGTGATTCAATTGGATGTCTGAATAGGATGTGAGGTCATACCTCTACTTGAGCTATGTCTCCGGAGGACACTTTATGGGCTTTCCATTTGGTTTCCTTCAATCATTTCAATGGTCTTAGGCCCCTTACACACAGTGAATGAATTGTGTGAATCGTAACCTCACTTAGACATGCCCTATGATTCTGTCGGCTAGAACCAATGATTATATCCTTGGTTTTGCGACAAGCTGTGTATGGGGCCTTATGTTGCTAACCTGGGAATGTTGTCGTCTACGGTGGCACAGCCATACAGGAACACGATGACTCCCACTAGAGAAGCAGGAATCAGCATCTGGGTGTACAGCCCCAGCCACGCAAAGTACAGCCCTATCTTCTCCCCAAAGTACTTCCTGCATGGAAAGAACACAACAATCTCAGCTTTTGAAAATAATAGAATAGAGTAGAATATAATATAATATGTATAAAGTACTTCCTGCATGATGAACAACACGCTGTTCATTTTTTAAATATAAAGATTAAAACATAGTGTGACGTTTCAATCTAAACAGACATTAATCAGACAGAGATTGAGGAAAAACGGAGCAATCTCAGCTTTCAAGTTCAGTTTCAGAATATGAAACCTTAACTCACCTTACTAGCCCGATAGGCTGGTATTTGTAAAATACACTGTAACTCGCCCACTCCTCATACAAGAGCTGAAACACAGAACAACACGATGGATTACTTTTAAACCATCACATGCATTAGAGGGTCCACACTCAAAAAGAGAGTTTAAAAGTCATGTTTTGCTTTATCTCTTCATTCAAGAGGCAACAAGTGTAGAGCAAATGTTTTGGCTGTTAGTCCACCGTCAGTGATATTGCTTTCAAACCAACATGCATTCACTTCAATCTTTCAGCATTCGACCCATCTTCCCTATGACTCTCACTGACAAGTATATCCATCTCAGCTCTAAGTCAAGCTCATGTAAGCATGATTGCTGGAGAGAGTGTGTGAGAGCTGTGAAGTCGTCTTTTGACTTCTGAAGGCTAATATGAGCTGCAGTTAAAGACCGCAGGCCAAAGGGTGAGAGACGGGGAGAGAGGGTGAGAGAGGGTGAGAGAGCGTGAGAGAAGGTGAGAGAGCGTGAGAGGCGTTTGAAGCCAGCTCCTTTTTCTTCCTTCAACTGACAACAGATGACAGGTTGGATGAAGAGAGAGACAGTGCTACCGTGGTAAATTAGAGACAAGTGAGGTTGTGAAGGGGGAGGTGGGAGGGCTCAAGGAGTAGGGGAGACAGAGAGGGGGAGGGTTGAGGGAAGGTTGTGACTGGTGGAGTTAGAACACAGTCTACAGTATTGGGGCTTGGGGACACAGCTAGAGTAGAACTGTGAAGCCGAACATCCTTTCATACCAATTTCATCATCTATAATTGAAAGACAGATTTGTTTTTGAATCCGTCACGTCTCATTCATATTCGTCTCATTCATAATTTCGTCTAGCCTCTTATGTATCCTTGATAAGTTTATCAACCCCAAAAAACAATGGTTCTCTTGTTCCATTGAAGTAAATCTGAGAGGCGGTCTTCAGAGTAAAGAGCCTTTAAAGTAAAGAAGACATGCTGGCCCCAGAAGACCTCCACTGTTTCTCTGTTTTCATGTCATCTGACCAAAGCACCGGTTCCAATCCAAGTGCCAATGCCGTTTAGCAAACACCAGGGGCTTACATTTGTTGGATGACATGAAAATAGAGCTCTTTGGCCACACACACCAGTGGTAAGTTTGGCGTCGAAATGAGAATGCATGAGCAGAAATATCTACTGTAAAATATGGTGGTAGATCTTTTATGTTATGGGGGTATTTTGCTTCCACTGGTCCTGGGGCCCTTGTTAAGGTAAACGGCATCATAAACTTTAGCAGGTTGATGTTTATTGTCATGAATCTGAGCGATTTCCGCTAGCTGGGCCAGCTACAATGTCAAAATTGGCCATTATTGTAAAAATTCAAGATGTATTTTGTTGTTGTTGCTTTTTGGTCTTAATTTAAGGTTAGGTTTAGGCATTATGGTTAGCAGTGGGGTTAAAGTTAGAGTTAAGGTTAAGTTTAAAATCTGATTTAATGACTTTGTGGCTGTGCTAGCTAGTGACCACTCTGCAGAGCTGCCTCCAGGGCAAGATTCATGACAATAAATGCCAACCTGCTGAACTTTACCCAGTACCAGGACATTTTAGCCAAAAACCTGGCTGCCTCTGCCAGGAGGCTTGAAACCTAGCCGCAAGTGCATCTTTCAGCCAGAAAATAACCGCAAACACATAAAAATCCACAAAGAAATTGTTAATTGGCCACAAAATCAAAATGTTGCAATGCCATCTCAGTCTCCGGACTTAAAACCCATTGAAAACCTGTGGTTTGAATTGAAGAGGGCAGTCCATAAGCACATACCAAAGGATATCAAGGATCTGGAAGGGTTCTGTTTGGAGGAATGGTCTAAGATCCCTCCCAATGTGTTCTCGATAAAACATTTTATAAAAAGGCTCAGTGCTGTTATCCTCGAAAGGTGAGATATTGAAAGGTATTGAAAACATAGGATATCAATAATTTTAACCCTTACCTTTTTGAGAAAAAAAGCATTACTTGTTAAACAAATTATCTTTCTCTGAGCAGTTGTATTAGTATAAAATAATATAATTTCCCCAAAATGTTCTGCATACAATATTTACATTTTAGTCATTTAGCAGACGCTCTTATCCAGAGCGACTTACAGGAGCAATTTCAGACCCCACTGTACATGTACACATGTATCTACACATTTGCACTGGTTGTACACATAGTACACCTACATGCCCTCATGGACAAGGCCCCCTGGTATTGGGTTGTGCCTGGGTGGGTCACATAGTGGATCTTCCAGCCATGCAGACAGCAGTAAGGTGATCTGTGTTCCAGTCTCAGAACACACAGGCACATTCCTTCTAACACTCCCGTCCCCAAAACACCTCAGTGTCACTATGCAACATTGAGTAGCCTCAGGGAGAGTCTCATCACTGTCTTAACCTACAAGCCTGTGAGATTAGAAGGCCATCTGAGGCCAGTGCTCCGTCATTGCTCTTTCCTTTTTTTCTTTCTTATTTATTTCTCTCTCTCTCTCTCTCTCTCTCTCTCTCTCTCTCTCTCTCTCTCTCTCTCTCTCTCTCTCTCTCTCTCTCTCTCTCGCTCTCTCTCTCTCTCTCTCCCTCTCTCTCTCCCCTCTCTCTCGCTCTCTCTTTCTCTCTCTCTCGCTCGCTCTCTCTTCCTCCCCCTCTCTCTCTCTCCCTCCCCCCTCTCTCTCTCCCTCCCCCTCTCTCTCTCTCCCTCCCCCCTCTCTCTCTCCCTCCCCCTCTCAATTCAATTCATTTAAGGGCTTTATTGGCATGGGAAACATATGTTAACATTGCCAAAGCAAGTGAAGTAGATAGTAAACAAAAGTGAAATAAACAATAAAAATGAACAGTAAACATTACACTCAGAAGTTCCAAAAGAATAAAGACATTTCAAATGTCATATTATGTCTATATACAGTGTTGTAACAATGTGCAATAGTTAAAGTACAAATGGGAAAATAAATAAACATAAATATGGGTTGTATTTACAATGGTTTGTTCTTCACTGGTTGCCCATTTCTTGTGGCAACAGGTCATGATGGCACACTGTGGTTTTTCAAACAGTAGATAAGGGAGTTTATCAAAATTGGGTTTGTTTTCGAATTCTTTGTGGATCTTTGTAATCTAAGGGAAATATGTGTCTCTAATATGGTCATACATTTGGCAGGAGGTTAGGAAGTGCAGCTCAGTTTCCACCTCATTTTGTGGGCAGTGTGCACATAGCCTGTCTTTTTGCAGAATTCTGCATGCAGAGTCTCAATTTGGTGTTTGTCCCATTTTGTGAATTCTTGGTTGGTGAGCGGACCCCAGACCTCACAACCATAAAGGGCAATGGGTTCTATAACTGATTCAAGTATTTTTAGCCAGATCCTAATTGGTATGTCAAATGTTATGTTCCTTTTGATGGCATAGAAGGCCCTTCTTGCCTTGTCTCTCGGATTGTTCACAGCTTTGTGGAAGTTACCTGTGGCGCTGATGTTTAGGCCGAGGTATATATAGTTTTTTGTGTGCTCTAGGGCAACGGTGTCTAGATGGAATTTATATTTGTGGTCCTGGCAACTGGACCTTTTTTGGAACACCATTATATTTGTCTTACTGAGATTTACTGTCAGGGCCCAGGTCTGACAGAATCTGTGCTGAAGATCTAGGTGCTGCTGTAGGCCCTCCTTGGTTGGGGCCAGAAGCACCAGATCATCAGCAAACAGTAGACATTTGACTTCAGATTCTAGTAGGTTGAGGCTGGGTGCTGCAGACTGTTCTAGTGCCCTCGCCAATCCCCCCCCATGCTTGGTGCCAGGGCTTTGTTTTCCTCCCCTGCTCCTCTCCTCTCGTCTCGTCTCCTCTGCCCTGGCCCCATCATGTTGACATTCAGGCAGGGCTTGGCTGAGGTTGGCTGGGCCATGCCGGTGGCAGTGCAGGCTCAGAGTGTTGGAACTGTCCCCTTCTGATGTCCTGCCAGCGTCACAAGAGGGTGATGAGGCCCCTCTTTCTCTCTCCCTTTCTCCCCTCCACAGGCAGGGTATCTCTGCCTCTCCCTTTCTCCCCTCCACAGGCAGGGTATCTCTGCCTCTCCATTCTCCCCCCTTAACAGGCAGGGTTTCCACCACATCCATCCTTCTGAAATACTGTAGAGGCCATATCAAAATAACATACTAGACTTCTCTCTCCACAAACCCTAGACAATCAACAGGCTACAGACAGGCATCATCTTCTCCTGTTTTGTCACCACTCAAAGATACGCCCTCCTCCCCCCTCTTCCTCCTCTCCTATCTGAGAGACACTTATCCTTTCTTAAAGGGTCCTTATCTTCGTGAACTATATTATGCTTGCATTGATTTTATCAGCATAATTACGCTAGCTTTAAGAGTGGTAACAGTTGGATAATTGGACACATTTTTGGTTGTCGTGGGAATGGGACAGATGGTGGTGGTGATAAGTGATGAAACATGAAAAGGCATCTGGCTGAGGCTGTGGCAGCACACACCCACACACACACACACACACACACACACACACAGGCGCTATGTAGATTCTCTCTGTTGCCAAGCTGAGCTTATTGTAATCGTTCCCAGGGGGAGGAAGATAAGACACTTGGAGACGTCCGCATTCAGAGAGAATTCCTCAATTACATGCCATTATTCTCTTTTTCAATGATGGGGATGCCAATAGGATCCTTCTGGCACTCAACAGATGGCCCACACAGCTACACAGCAGCCTGGCTACACAGCTACACAGCTACACAGCAGCCTGGCTACACAGCTACACAGCTACACAGCAGCCTGGATACACAGCTACACAGCTACACAGCAGCCTGGCTACACAGCTACACAGCTACACAGCAGTCTGGATACACAGCTACACAGCAGCCTGGCTACACAGCTACACAGCAGCCTGGCTACACAGCTACACAGCTACACAGCAGCCTGGATACACAGCTACACAGCAGCCTGGCTACACAGCTACACAGCAGCCTGGATACACAGATACACAGCAGCCTGGATACACAGCTACACAGCACCCTGGCTACACAGCTACACAGCAGCCTGGCTACACAGATACACAGCTACACAGCAGCCTGGATACACAGCTACACAGCTACACAGCAGCCTGGCTACACAGCTACACAGCAGCCTGGATACACAGCTACACAGCAGCCTGGCTACACAGCTACACATCAGCCTGGCCATACAGCTACACAGCTACACAGAAGCCTGGCTACACAGCTACACAGCAGCCTGGCTACACAGCTACACAGAAGCCTGGCTACACAGCTACACAGCTACACAGCAGCCTGGATACACAGCTACAAAGCAGCCTGGCTACACAGCAGCCTGGCTACACAGCTACACAGCAGCCTGGATACACAGCTACACAGCTATGAAGATACTGGATATTTCCTACTTTTCATGTTGATTTTTAACTCATTTATATGCAAAATTATGACTTTTTGCTTTCTTATGTTTTAGGGCACCAGAAATGTACTTTACTAGATCGGTAAAGACAAAGCACTCTTCTTGACTAGCCAATTTCCAGACCTCAAAGCATGGTCCAGGCCTTAATTCCATACAACATTTGAGGTGTAAACTCAAGGACAGAGCCCATTAAGAACAGAGCACCAACAAATCTGAAGGAGCTAAAGAACAGGAATGTCTGTTGGAAAGCAAACAAACCTTGAGTCTACTCTAAACTAAAATTGGGTTCAAATACTATTTTAAATACTTTTAAATATTTTATCTGTGTTGGACTCTGTTCCAAATCCACTATCACTCAAAAATAAAAATAAAATGTAAATACATATTTAGATTCCAGTCAATGTCTTTATACCAAGTTGAGTTGAGTGTGGTCCTCTGTAGCTCAATTGGTAGAGCATAGCGCTTGTAACACCAGGGTAGTGGGTTCGATCCCCGGGACCACCCATACGTAAAAATGTATGCACACATGACTGTAAGTCGCTTTGGATAAAAGCGTCTGCTAAATGGCATATTATTGAGAGTTTAACTTTTCAGATGCAATTGGAACTGAGTTGATAGCCCATAGCGTTCCAAGTTAGAGTCTGATGGCACTGATGCCCATATTGGCGGTGAAAAAATTGCAGAAACATGTTCATGACAAGTTGATACAGATGAAATTTATCAAAATAACTGTTCAAAACATGAAAAACATACAAAAAGGTCTATTTAAACATCAAATGTAACTATAAATGTGTGAAAATGTTAAAATATATGCTTATTTTGGGGGATTAAAACCAATAACTTATGTAACCAAAGGTTAATTAAAGAAAAAGAGTGTCTCTTTGCAATCATGACCAATTTTGGGTAAAAAATTACCCCTGTTGGCGCTTTTAAGATAAAAATATGTTGCCGCTTTTAGGTTTGAACACACACACACACACACACACACACACACACACACACACACACACACACACACACACACACACACACAGCTGTACTCTCATCAATTAACACAGCTGCAGAAACAAGGCTGCAGTGTGGTATGTTAACATCAGTGTGGTCTCCTAAAAAATGTATAAGGTCAGTGTGGTCATATTTATGTCACTCACCTTCCTATCATTGGGCTCCACGTTTTCACCATCCACATCTCCCTGCACAACAAATTAAACAGAGTTATGGCTCTGTCTTGTGATTCATCCAGATTAGGGTCCAAAATTACTGACACCCTTGATAAAAATTAGCAATAATGATAGTATAAAATAAATAATTCAAATACTGAGCTATATTGTATGCTCCAAAAAATTGGGAAATGATATTATTTTATACTAATACATTTTCTCAGATTTTATTTAACAAGTAATAATTATTTTTCTCAAAAAAAAGTAGTGGTCAAAATTATTGACATCCCTAATGATTCTTATAAATAAAGTAGTCCAAAGTTTAGTATTTGGTCCCATATTTCTAGTATGCAATGACTACATCATGGTTGTGCCTCTACAAACTTGTTGGATGCATTTGCAGTTCATTTTGGTTGTGTTTCAGATTAGAAAGTTACATAGGGTCAAAGATCATACCCCAAAGACATGCTAACCTCCCCTTTTATTGGTAATAGTGAGAAGTTAGCATTTCTTGGGGATGTGATCTTTGACCCTTTCTTACTCATCATTATTCACGATTCATTCAGGATTATCCGTAATCATAGTAGCATCCACATTAATGTAGAAGTGTTTAGAAACATATTATATTCTTATTTACAATAAAAGTGACTCCAAAAGGACACAATACATTATTTACCATTTATTTCTATTGGGCAGAAAATAATCTGAAACTCAACCAAAACAAACTGCAAATGCATTCAACAAGTTTGTAGAGACTGTAGTCATTGTGTGCTCGGAATATGGGACCAAATACTAAACTTTTGACTACTTTATTTATAAGAATCTTTAGGGGTGTCAATAAGTTTGACCTCAAGCGTTTTGAGAATTGTTTTTTTACTTGTTAAACAAAATATCTTTCCCTGAGCAATTGTATTAGTATAAAATAATTTAATTTCCAAAATATGTTTACATACAATATAGCTCAGTATTTGAATTATTTATTTTATACAGTCATTGTTGCTAATCTTTATCAAAGGCGACAATAATGTCGAACCCCACTGTACCTCAATTTACTGTAAGCCTAGGCCTGTAACACATGATCTATTCGACTGGACTCAACAACGCCTATTCAAATATTAATAATTATATCTATATACAGTCAAGTTGCCAGTTAAATGTATTGTATAGTCAGCACTCAGCAGTTGAATTGACTCCCATGTCTCATAAGTCATTAAACAGAAACATACAGTGGGGGAAAAAAAGTATTTAGTCAGCCACCAATTGTGCAAGTTCTCCCACTTAAAAAGATGAGAGAGGCCTGTAATTTTCATCATAGGTACACGTCAACTATGACAGACAAAATGAGAAAAAGACATCCTGAAAATCACATTGTAGGATTTTAATGAAATTATTTGCAAATTATGGTGGAAAATAAGTATTTGGTCACCTACAAACAAGCAAGATTTCTGGCTCTCACAGACCTGTAACTTCTTCTTTAAGAGGCTCCTCTGTCCTCCACTCGTTACCTGTATTAATGGCACCTGTTTGAACTTGTTATCAGTATAAAAGACACCTGTCCACAACCTCAAACAGTCACACTCCAAACTCCACTATGGCCAAGACCAAAGAGCTGTCAAAGGCCACCAGAAACAAAATTGTAGACCTGTACCAGGCTGGGAAGACTGAATCTGCAATAGGTAAGCAGCTTGGTTTGAAGAAATTAACTGTGGGAGCAATTATTAGGAAATGGAAGACATACAAGACCACTGATAATCTCCCTCGATCTGGGGCTCCACGCAAGATCTCACCCCGTGGGGTCAAAATGATCACAAGAACGGTGAGCAAAAATCCCAGAACCACACAGGGGGACCTAGTGAATGACCTGCAGAGAGCTGGGACCAAAGTAACAAAGCCTACCATCAGTAACATACTACGCCGCCAGGGACTCAAATCCTGCAGTGCCAGATGTGTCCCCCTGCTTAAGCCAGTACATGTCCAGGCCCGTCTGAAGTTTGCTAGAGTGCATTTGGATGATCCTGAAGAGGATTGGGAGAATGTCATATGGTCAGATGAAACCAAAATAAAACTTTTTGGTAAAAACTCAACTCGTCGTGTTTGGAGGACAAAGAATGCTGAGTTGCATCCAAAGAACACCATACCTACTGTGAAGCATGGGGGTGGAAACATCATGCTTTGGGGCTGTTTTTCTGCAAAGGGACCAGGACGACTGATCCATGTAAAGGAAAGAATGAATGGGGCCATGTATCGTGAGATTTTGAGTGAAAACCTCCTTCCATCAGCAAGGGCATTGAAGATGAAACGTGGCTGGGTCTTTCAGCATGACAATGATCCCAAACAGACCGCCCAGGCAACGAAGGAGTGGCTTCGTAAGAAGCATTTCAAGGTCCTGGAGTGGCCTAGCCAGTCTCCAGATCTCAACCCCATAGAAAATCTTTGGAGGGAGTTGAAAGTCCGTGTTGCCCAGCGACAGCCCCAAAACATCACTGCTCTAGAGGAGATCTGCATGGAGGAATGGGCCAAAATACCAGCAACAGTGTGTGAAAACCTTGTGAATGTCACTAGAACCGATGTGGATGTGGTGGAGGAGTCAGGCGCAGGACACAGAGGTGAAGTCCAACAGACTTTAATAGTCTAATGTATACGAGAAAAAAAAACCCGACCTCAAAATACACCAAGAGGCGAGGGAAAATTACGCACACGCGTAAACACTAAACACAAAACAAACAGGGTGCAAACACGTAGCTCCGACACAGTGGCAGTCATAACAACACACAATCATTCTAGTGCAAAACAAGGAACTTATAAGACACGTAATCAACACACAAATGGACACAGGTGTAACAGACAGACAAAAGCAATCAAATGACGAAACATAGAGCGGTGGCAGCTAGTACTCCGTGACAGTGAAGACTTACAGAAAACGTTTGACCTGTGTCATTGCCAACAAAGGGTATATAACAAAGTATTGAGAAACTTTTGTTATTGACCAAATACTTATTTTCCACCATAATTTGCAAATACATTCATTAAAAATCCTACAATGTGATTTTCTGGATTTTATGTTCTCATTTTGTCTGTCATAGTTGACGTGTACCTATGATGAAAATTACAGGCCTCTCTCATCTTTTTAAGTGGGAGAACTTGCACAATTGGTGGCTGACTAAATACTTTTTTCCCCCACTGTATGTGGTGTCCAGGGGGTTGGGAATAACATAATACTGCAAAAATATACATTTCAGATGCAAATTGTACAATATAGTTGTATTGTAAACACACTTACAGTGGGGAAAAAAAGTATTTAGTCAGCCACCAACTGTGCAAGTTCTCCCACTTAAAAAGATGAGAGAGGCCTTGTTTTCGCTTGTGGTCTGGTGTCCTTTGACAGCTCTTTGGTCTTGGCCATAGTGGAGTTTGGAGTGTGACTGTTTGAGGTTGTGGACAGGTGTCTTTTATACTGATAACAAGTTCAAACAGGTGCCATTAATACAGGTAACGAGTGGAGGACAGAGGAGCCTCTTAAAGAAGAAGTTACAGGTCTGTGAGAGCCAGAAATCTTGCTTGTTTGTAGGTGACCAAATACTTATTTCCACCATAATTTTGCAAACAATTCATTAAAAATCCTACAATGTGATTTTCTGGATTTTTTTCCTCAATTTGGTCTGTCATAGTTGACGTGTACCTATGATGAAAATTACAGGCCTCTCTCATCTTTTTAAGTGGGAGAACTTGCACAATTGGTGGCTGACTAAATACTTTTTTCCCCCACTGTATGCTGATTGCAATGAGTACTCACATCATGTAGTGGATAGGCAGCTGTGTAGACTCCACTACCTAGCAGGCTGGTGATCCCTACACGAAGAAAAAAGGAGCAGTTGTACCTTGTTTTAAATTCAAATGAAATACCAGGTAATTCTGTTGATCTTTAGTCACTGCTTTTGGCATATCCGAGTACATGAACAAATGCCCTTAAAAGGAAGGGTTGCACCTCTGGTACTAGTGACAACTCAGAGGTACCGTTTCAGTCTATAGGTTATAAAACACACACACGTGCGCACACACATACAAAGAACAGACTATTGTCTACATTCTGCATGCTTACTGCATTCTTGTGCATCATACATACACTACCAGTCAAAAGTTTGGACACACCTACTCATTCAAGGGTTTTTACATTGTAGAATTATAGTGAAGACATCAAAACTATGAAATAACACATATGGAATCATGTAGTAACCAAAAAAGTGTTAAACAAATCCAAATGTATTTTATATTTGAGATTCTTCAAATAGCCACCATTTTCCTTGATGACAGCTTTGTACACTCTTGGCATTCTCTCAACCAGCTTCATGAGATAGTCACCTGGAATGCATTTCAATTAACAGGTGTGCCTTCTTAAAAGTTAATTTGTTTCTTAATGCAATTGAGCATTGTGACAAGTTGTGTTGTGACAAGGTGGGGGGGTATACAGAAGATAGTCCTATCTGGTGAAGACCAAGTACATATTATGGCAAGAACAGCTCAAATAAGCAAATAGAAACAGTCCATCATTACTTTAAGACATGAAGGTCTGTCAATACGGAACATTTCAAGAACTTTGAAAGTTTCTTCAAGTGCAGTCGCAAAAACCATCAAGCGCTATGATGAAACTGGCTCTCATGAGGACCGCCACAGGAATGGAAGACCCAGAGTTACCTCTGCTGCAGAGGATACGTTCATTAGAGTTACCAGCCTCAGAAATTGCAGCCCAAATAAATGCTTCACAGAGTTCAAGTAACAGACACATCTAAACATCAACTGTTCAGAGGAGACTGTTCATGGTCGAATTGCTGCAAAGAAACCACTACTAAAGGACACCAATAAGAAGAAGAGACTTGCTTGGGACAAGAAACACGACCAATGGACATTAGACCGGTTGATCACTGCATGTGTATTTCCCACCGTAAGCATGGAGGAAGAGGTGTTATGGTGTGAGGGTGCTTTGCTGGTGACACTGTCAGTGATTTATTTATAATTCAAGGCACACTTAACCAGCATGGCTACCACAGCATTCTGCAGTGATACGCCATCCCATCTGGTTTGGGCTTAGTGGGACTATAATTTGTTTTTCAACATGACAATAACCAACACACCTCCAGGCTGTGTAAGGGCTATTTTACCAAGAAGGAGAGTGACGGAGTGCTGCATTAGATGACCTGGCCCCCACAATCCTCCGACCTCAACCCAATTGAGATGGTTTGAGATGAGTCAGACCGCAGAGTGAAGGAAAAGCAGCCAACAAGTGCTCAGCATATGTGGGAACTCCTTCAAGACTGTTGGAAAAGCATTCCAGGTGAAGCTGGTTGAGAGAATGCCAAGAGTGTGCAAAGCTGTCATCAAGGCGAAGGGTGTCTATTTGAAGAATCTCAAATATAAAATACATTTGGATTTGTTTAACACTTTTTTGATTACCACATGATTCCATATGTGTTATTTCATCATGTTGATGTCTTCACTATTATTCTACAAGGTAGAAAATAGTACAAATGAAGAAATACCCTGGAATGAGTAGGTGTGTCCAAACTTTTGACTGGTACTCTATGTACTTCATAAACACAGATTTAACTTCTCAAACTACCCAATGATGGGAAAACCCCTCCTAGACAATGGGTATATAAAACAAGGCAGACTGTTATGACTTACCCATACTATACTTAGCCTTTGTGCATTTTGTACGTTTCAATACTTCAAAAACCTGATAAGATAAGAAGGGAAGAATAAGTGAACACAGAACAGCACATTCCTATTACGTTTCCCATTAATAACTGAGAACATCTAACTAATGGTTGTAATGATTGCAGGCTAGAGTCTACTGTAATGGGGGATTTGGCCGACACAATGAAGCAACACTTACTATTGAAGCTCTTGTTTTACTGTCAAAGAAGGAGTCTCTGTCTGATAAATCAAACCTGTTACAGAAGACACACAGAGACTGTTGTGTTAACTGGGGACATTTACATTTACATTTTAGTCATTCAGCAGACGCTCTTATCCAGAGCGACTTACAGTTAGTGAGTGCATACAATTTTCATACTAGGCAGGTGGTCTTTGAAGTCATGTACCCACATTATAAAGAGAGACACTCTTTCCTACCGTTGTACCAGCACACAATAAAGACATTCCCAGAAGTGCTTTAGACACAGAGGTGCAATGAAACCCATTATAGAGAGGATGTCAGTGGTTAGGCAGCCCGGACAAAGCCTGGTCCCAGATCTGTTCCTACTGTCTTGCCAACTCCCATGGTTATTGTCACGCGACGTGGAGTTGGCAAGACCGCAGGAACAGATCTGGGATCAGGCTTGCCCATCCAGGGACCAGAGGGCCAAAAGGTCTTTAAAGTTCTTACAGACCTGTAATAGATAACCCATGGGGGATTGTTTTGATTAGCATAGTTACAGCAGACCAAATGAATAGATAGCAGGGATGGAATAGCATAGCCTCCAGCAGTAGGCCAGCAGCTCAAAATAGACTCCCACCCAATCTCTAGACAAAATAAATCAACAACAATAAACGCAGGCAGAAATAACCGTGTTTGTAGCTTATGCCCTTAGACAAATACTTTTGTGTGTTGTTTGAGTAAGAGTAAAAGCTGACAAGCCCTTTTTTTTTTTTTTTTTTACTTTAAACACAACATCAACATCATGTTTATTTGACTTCTGCTTCTGTGCTAGATCATGTGTGAGCTGGTATGTCTGTCTTTCCTGGTAAGTCTTTCCTGGAAGAGTTACAGAATAATGGGTTCAATTTCAGCCCTCAGTAGGGTAACTTAATCTCCATCTTTTCAGGAAATGTTTACCATACCATATCTTTACATTTTTTGTCATTTAGCAGACACTCTTATCCAGAGTGACTTACAGGAGAAATTAGGGTTAAGTGCCTTGCTCAAGAGCACATCAACAGATTTTTCACCTAGTCAGCTCGGGGATTCAACCCAGCAGCCTTTCGGTTACTGGTCCAACGCTCTTAACTGCCACCTTTTTTGTTCTAGAAAAAAGATACATACTATTTATAACTAGCCTATTTGTCTTTTTTTCTTCCTAAACTGTGTCACAGTTATTATTGATAGTCTCTTGTTGTACAAGCCCTCAAACCTTCAGGCCTTTAGCTATTTTTCTGTTCAGTCTTCAATGTGTGTCAATAGCTATGCCACATGCTATACCATATGCCACTACAGTAGTCAATTTGAGGAAGTGCATGAAATGCCACTTAAACAAAGATGGATAGGAGCGGGAATTGGGGCTTTAGAGAACAATCTTGTATATATAATCATAAGACTTATATACTCATGAATACAAGCCTTCAGAAGTACATGCCTTCAGCTGTTTTTCTTGCCTGTCCTGAATGTGTGCCAACAGGCACATGCCACCACATGCCATACCATCTGCCACTAGACGTATACATTAAAAGTGCATTAAATGTCCTTGAAACCAAGATGGATTGGAGCAGGAATTGAAGTCTGTATGTTACTGTACATGTATGCAGTCTATACAACCTTGTATATTGTATATCATCATAAGACATACAGTATATACTCACAAGTGTTGTTTTTCTCTGGAGAACGCGTAGGAGAGATGCTTAACGTTTTGTGCCCTGTTCTCTTCCACGTTGGGATGAAGTGGTTCAGTGGCTTTGTTTACCAATGTGTTGATCTTCGCCCCAACACCAGTACACTGCTTCACTTCATATACCTATAGGAAAACCACCAGGAGGTTAACCAAGGCACTATAGAACAAATCATAGGTGATGAAAATGACTAGCATGAAGTCTGTGTCCGAAAAGGTTACTAGCTCTCAAAATCTTGCTTCCTCCGTCCTTGTTTCCTCTGACTCCTCGCCTCCCTCTCAAAGCTCATTGGAGATGGAGGTCCGAAGGAGAAAACAAGGACGGAGGAAGCAAGGACTTGACAGCTGGTGACCTTTACACATCATTCAACAGTTGACATACTTTTTTCGTGGGCATCTTGAGCTTCATAAACTCCGCCTCTCGACAGAGCACATGCCAAGGAGCATGGATCTTCACAAAGCCCACACTTGGAGTTTTAGTCTGAAATAAACACAGAACAGATTCATTGAAACAATACAATGTCAGTTTAAGGTTTGTTAAAACCAAATACTACTGAATGCCCAACACTTTGCCCATATTACTCTTTCTATACAAGACCAACAGTACATGACATGAAGGCACAGATAAACATCAGAGGTAAAAAGGCAACCAAATGAAAGAATTAAAGAAATGCATGCATTTATCTCGTGTCATTAAGGAAAGCAATACATTCATCTGGATGACAGTTGGGTAAACAATAAATGGGACTCTCCAAACAAATCCCTCCTCCTCTATAGTAACTTCAATCAAAACAATGTCTGGGAACGGAAGGCTACTTATGGGAGACACAGAGGGAAAGACACCATGGGAAATCATGAGAGAAACCTGCTACCAGTCTTTAGAAACACATCATCATCATCATTACACAAACAAGAATCTCGATAACGTCAGCATTTTAATCTAGGACTTTCATTATTTCAATTATTTCACCATTATTTATTCAGGTAAGTCAATTAAGAACAAATTGTTATTTACAGTGACGACCTGTCAGTGAGCGAGCGCAGCACGTATAACATACTGTATAATGACAAAAAAGTGAAAAGTAGTACCAACATCAATCTTTTTCCACAGTATGTATGTTCATGAACATCAACACAGGAGGGATTCACTGTGAAGACTTTGATGCTGCTGTCACCCAGCTACCCAGTTACGACCCACAGGATACCATGGTTAGTTAGTTGTTTGTTTACATGGAATCAGTGGTTACTGAGATGCTCATTCACCCACTGATATGGTACAGCCAGAACATCTGTTCCAATGTGCAACTCCTCCTGTGACAAGGCAACCATCACTAGTAGCAGGGGACGGCCTCTAACTTTGATCTCAAATTCTAAACAACCAACCGTAACAGGCTTTCTCCGTTTATATTGTCTCCAATAGAGCTGAGACAAGCATCATTAGTAACAACGCAGAATCATAAAACAAAACACAGTCTCTTACTTTGATCTCAAACTCTGAAACAACCGACTGTCTTAACAGCCCTTTCTCTTCCCTTTCAGAGCCAGCATTTTGTTTTGTTTTTGATATAGATCATCAGTCTTTGTATAACATCTTGTCAAAGTACCTTGGACTTGACGTGCCTCTGTACTGTGCACTGTTTGTCAAACCACAGATGTCACACTATCTAAAACATGAGGAGTGACATTTCCAACAACTCGAGACGTGGTGGAGTCGTTGTTATCAAAAGGCTGTATCTCTGTGAGTATTCGGACCAGAAATGATTTTGGAATGCAACAACTAGTCTGTGAGACTGCATTATGTCTCCTGTTCCCACCATCACATTGCAAAACAAACAGACCCCTCATGGCCAGTCTTGGATCGAAATGTGGTTGTGTACAGATAGGATCTTAATTTGATCACTTTTGTTGCTGAGACTTGCGCCGCAGGAAATGCAGATTCACTGAAAAACTGTACTACACTCTTAGAAAAAATCTAGAACCTAAAAGGGTTTTTCGGCTGTCCCCATAGGTAGAACCCTTTTGGGTCCAGGTAAAACCTTTTTGGGTTCCATGTAGAACCCTTTCCACAGAGGGTTTTACATGGAACCCAAAAGGGATCAACCTGGAACCAAAAATGGTTCTCCATGGAACCAAAAAGAGTTCTCCTATGGGGACAACCAAAGAACCCTGTTGGAACCCTTTTTTCTAATAGTGTAACACACGGTTATATTAGCAGTATTCCACTTTTCATATAGCCTCATTTTGACCAGCTAATAGCCTAACCACCGATCAAGCAACATTATGGACTAAACATTAAAATCCTGTTGCTGCAGGATTCTTTTGCTGCAACAATACAGGTCAAATGAAGATCCTACAACTGACCTTATTAAAGATTTGTGGTGGCTCAATCGTGTGTTTGTACCCTACTTCATTTCTACTAGTTTACTTCGGCCCAGTACCCCTTAACAAGTGATGTGCACTTGACTATAGCCTACTGACTATTTTCTAAAAATATTTCAACAAGTATTGAGTTTAGGCCTGTGGATCTAAAAGACGTCCAATCAGGTATTACCGTATGTAGTCTTGCGCTGCCAGACATTACCCTGTATTCACGTTCAAGGAATCGGAGAAACGTAGAACATTCTGGAGCGGTTGGGGTCAGGTTTAAGTAATGGGTTTCCTAGTGGAAGTTTCCATCACTGTTTCAGTCTCAAACATTCACATCCCATCACCACCTCCGCTTCCTTCCTTCCCACTGCAGTCCCGTCCCAGTCTCCCACTGTTAGATCCACTTAGTGTCTTCTATATACAGACTAGTTTAAGTCAACAGCACTTTAATGATCTATAATACTTAGGGCGCCTGTTTTAATCAACTAACTCCACAATGGACGGTCGATGAGAGAAAATGATAAACTACCTAAACATGACTCCCCTCTCTCCTCTCCTCTCCACTAACATGATAAGACAGAGATTATTCAGTATGTTTTCCCCCACAGAGAACACAAACAGTTTGATGTAATAACCGCAGTAACCATGAGGGAAAAGCTTCAGTAATAAAATGGTGGCTTGAATGCAATTTGGGGACAAAGTGGAAATTATAACCGGATGGTTTATACATTAATCACAATTAATCTTAGCACCCAGAACCAAATATCTTGTGTACACTGTCTGTCACAAAGTCCCAAAGAACACTTGACATACGTCTTTTTTTCCTCACACACTTAATTTAATGAAAGCAATAGGACATCAAGCTTGTGAAAAATGTGCCCTTTGTAAGTGTGAGAGTGTGTGAGAGTGTGTGTGGGTGTGTGAGAGTGTATGTTGTTCTTGGAGAGAACAGTCAAGGTATTCTGTGTGATCTTCTAGCTGGCATTGCCACATTGCTTGCCTGGAGTGTGTGTGTGTGCGTGCATGGGAATGGTGTGTTCCTTCCACAGGGCCATCCCTGCCCTGTCCTGCCCTGTCCTGTCTGGGTAAAGAGATCCACCATGGCAGCTGTCATCTTGCCATCATCAGCACTCAGACCAACTTGATAGTCTCAGATTACTGGACTCTGTATTTGAGATTGCAGTTGGTCAACACACCACTGAAGACTATCACTAGAAGTGCACAGGCTTTTCCCTTTTCATTCACTCTCATGACATCTAGTCCAAAAAGTTGATTTGATGGCTGCCCTCCTTTTATATGAGAGTTGAATCTTGATCCTGATTAGTGATTTTGAATTCAAAATGCATTGGCTTTGAATGGGCTCCCGAGTGGCGCAACGGTCTAAGGCACTGCATCTCAGTGTTTGAGGCGTCACTACAGACCCCCTGGTTCGATTCCAGGCTGTATCACCAGCGGCCGTGATTGGGAGTCCCATAGGGCGGTGCACAATTGGCCCAGCGTTGTCCGGGTTTGGCTGGTGTAGGCCGTCATTGTAAATGAATTTGTTCTTAACTGACTTGCCTAGTTTAAAAAATGAAGAAAAATCACATTGAAATGACTGATGTAATGTTGAAAGGATTTTGAAGTCTATCATGGCATTTTCAAAGACACCCAAACATTGTCAGGTGTGAGAAACAGAACCCTCTTCAGAAAACAGACTAATGATGCGGTTGGTTCTGTGATATGGTTCTAAATAAATCCAACAACAAACCAATGACAGCAGCAAGGTTACCCTGGTTACCCTAGTCCCGTTAGCCCTTATAGGCCGGTTCCAGCTGGTGCTGTGCCAAACTACAATGTATCTTTTGTGTACTGTTGCATGGTGGGGACACCAGGCAAACTGGCTGACCTAAGCCCACAGACAAAAAAAACAAGGACTCTAGATGGGCAGCGGTGTTGTGTGGAATGCTCTGCCCTAAGCTAACGCGTGGCTAACACTAGCTAACGCTAGACCTGGCTGGACATAGCTGATAATATCGGGTGGGTTTGGGGCTGTCGAAAACAACAGAACAGAGAAGCCATAGAGAAGCAACTCACATCCTCATCCTTCTCCAGCTCCAGGCCCATATCCCTCAGGTTGCCCTCAAACTCTTCCCGGCGGAAGCGCTTGTCGTCCTCGTGGTAGTCCATGCTGTGGTCCTGAGAGGCCACCTCACGGTCACCTCTGGACTGCGGGGGCGGTGGTCGTCCCAGCCTGGCCGTCCCGCGGCGGAGGCTCCGTGTGAAGGCGTTGTCGGTGAAGCGGGAGGACTGTCGGTTAGAGCGGGAGCTGCTGGGCTTTTTGATGTGGTAGGTGAGGATGTAGTCCACCCGCCTCTCTCCATCCTGGAAGTACAGGCCGTGCTGGCATCCGGTGTTCTCCTCAGGTGTCAGGGAGTTCAGGAGCTGGGGAGAGAGGGGATGGCTGTGCATTAGAGAAGGCTCGCTACCTAGCTGGACCATGTACATGTGTGTATGTGTATGTGTGTGTGCTGTGGAGCTTTTGCCATTCAAATGGTTAGTGAGCCAGTTAGACTATAGGGGTCAAGTTGGGAGAGTCACCTAGACCCAATGGGGTTCCTGTGGAATTCTGGTTCCCCTTGGGAGAAGTGACCACTCAGTGACTTTAAACCTGAATGCTGAGAATTATTTAGTAAACTACAAGTTATTTTTATATCCAACAAAGGGCTTGTGTTGCTACTCTGTATGCGTGTGTACAAACAATGAACCAAAAATACCTGATTCTTTATTTTATGATATATCATTCATTTATATGAATGGCGTCTATAGGTATGATATTATAATCTCTTATTGTACAAACTTCAATAGGCATTGCTGAACATACAGTATAGAATCATAAAAATCATAAAACAAATGTTAATCAAATCTTGAAAAAATATAAATTTGACAGGATTGTAATATGCCAGATTTCTCATTTACTGTCTGCCTGCAAACCAGTATAGATTAAATCATTTCCGACAAACTGAAATCTAGTCTGTAATGTTTTAGTACAGTATGTTTATTATGTTACCATATCTTGATCTTTCGATTTTTTGATATACAGTAGATCATCAAAATTCCTGTGATTTCTGAACTCTTTCTAAGTTTGCTATACATCCACTTGAATATTTGTGTCACACTTCTAACTAGATTCATGATCTGGTTATAGTCGGGTATTTCCATGGAGTTTTCAGAGGGATAGGCTAGTCGACAACCGCTATCGGACATGAAGCTTGTTTGACCAGGAAAGTTTGGGTGACTCCAAAACTCATTGCTTATTCCTGACCTGGTGGCATTTTATTGTAGCAATAGTCAATATTATCATTAGAGACATCCAACAGTCTCATCTCTCAAAAATCAATAACTATTAAAAGACATAAAAGCCTTTTGTTTTCATAAGTGGTAGACTGATGAAGAATGCACATACCGGGTTTTATGTGCGCCACTTTCAATGTAGTATTATTTAGCTAAAAGGCAGTTGCATGAGGCACCTTCAAGACCCCTTGAACTATCTTATTTCAGGTAAGAGTTCCAAAATGGTTGATGATCGCTTGTGTGTGCGTAGACATGTTGGTGTTTGGGTGCACACAAGACTACATGCTGGACATATACTCTTGACATTTAAAGTTATGTTTTTGGTAAACATAGCTGACTGACTGTGATCTTTAGAGGTCTGGATTGGTCGGGTCCAGCTAACTACAAGCTGCTGTCCACAGTGTCCAGGCCATTGACCATATCAACATACTTCAAATTGTATGACTTATCAGTTGTAATAATATATTCCAATATTCCTGCAGACTATTTTAATAGCACTGACTGACCCAACTGATTTTCTATTTTTAATCACAATATGTAAAAAGTGGATTGTGGCCCGCCCCACATACACGTCATACAATTATTGTGACCTAATTTGACAATTATACACAATTCCACATTCTACCCTCACATGATGGCGATGAAAATCATAGACACTGTTCCATTTGTACCACTGGTTGAGAAGGTAAAACTAGAAACACATGGTCACAGACAGCAAGATGATAAGGGAGTTGAAAAAGAGTAATGAGTGGTGATGTTATTGGGTGTATACATTTCACTCATTTCACACACACCCCTCTCTAGTACAAGTCTTCACAGAGCTTCATGTGTAATGTGGAACAGGACCAACATTAAAACGTGTTAGGCGTGTACGGTAGATACTTGTTCTGTAATTAGGCTACAAGATCATTTTCTCTCTGCAAGCTGTCAAACCAGGTCAAGCCATTTCTCAACTATATTGAGATTTAAAAAAAATCCTAGCACAAAAGCTACTAAAAAAGGATTACAACAGACAAAATGAATGTATTCATTACTTAACAAAGTTGAAGTGGAAACTACATTTCCACAAAACAAACATACAACTGACTTCCACCTACAGTGTTATTTTCCAACAAATCAAAGTTTATAATTTATCGTCACTTTAAAAACCAAATATCAAACTATAACAAAGCAGAGATAGTTAGTTTCAGTTTCTACTGAAGTACTAGTATGTTAACACGTGATGAAAATCCACACATACTGTATCTTTGTCATTCCACTCACTTGAAATTTGCCATGAAAAACCACATCCTTTAAGAAGTGCCTGGGCTTGCTAGCTGTGGCTGCTGCGCTATGTAGCAGCGAAGTCCCTGAGCTCTCTGGTGTTTCTCCTGCCATCTTCCCATCACTAGGCGAGCGCTGCCGCTGACTACTGCTATTAAACAGAGCTCTCTCTCTTTCCCTCTCTCTCTTCTCTCTCCAGCTCTCCCTGTCACCGTCCACAGGGGTGAACCAAGCCCAAAGTCTCTCTGCTACAAGACCCACTACTTGTTACTTGAGAAGAGTCTGAGACGCCAAGGAGCTAATATTAGCCTTGATCTGAACGCGACAAGGTGCCCTCTCCTATCTCAATCCCTCATTACATATAAAAGCCATAGCAGATATTCAGCATCTTTTTCAGGGGCTGCTAATCATTCGGAGGTCAAGGTTAAGCTGCGATACATTTAATTATAAACTGGGTGGTTCGAACCCTGAATGCTGATTGGCTGACAGCCGTATGACAAAACATGTCTTTTTATTGCTCTAATTACGTTGGTAACCAGTTTATAATAGCAATAAGGCACCTTTGGGGTTTGGGATAAATGGCCAATATACCACGGCTAAGGTCTGTAACCAGGCACTCCGCGTTGCGTCGTGCATAAGAAGAGTCCTTAGCCGTGGTATATTGGCCATATACCACACCCACTCTGGCCTTATTGCTTAATTAGAACGTAAACATTGGCCCAATCCAGAGGTGAAACCACAGGTCCCAGAGTGGTTTGGTAGAAAAACAACTCTGGGCCCGTAGTTTTTCCTGATCTGGTAACCTAACCAGGTAAAACGGACCTTTACGGTATGACGTGATTAATCTATTGTAAAAAGCTTTAATATGGGCTATGAGGCTATGATGGGACCAGAGTTTTTCTACTCAGGTTGTTGTTGTTTTTTTATCCTGGAAAAACTCCTAGCCTTGGGGAGGATGAAAACCCTGTCAAACAGCAGCAACCTTGTACTTGTTCATATTAATGATATATTTTTTAAAGGACTAGGGGTGGTTCCTATACAGAAACACAGAGCAACATGATAAGACAATAAAACTCACAGGGCTGAGCTTGCTTTATGCAGCTTTGCATTGCCTAGTCCTGCCCTATGTTAGCTATTGTGTTTATTGAATCATTCCAGTTAATAATTTTCTATTGAAAAAGTCTAGGTAGCCTAGTCAGCCCAAGTTTGAATATAAAACAAATTTGATCCCATACACATTTTTCACAATATATATACACAGCGTTACCGCTTCGTGTTAGCAGCCTACAGTTGATCAGAAATGTTTTCTTGTTTCCTTGAAATACAGCATGTCAGATCGCTAATGTTTAGGTGTTTAGGCTGCTACATTTATGGAAGCGTTTTTGCTTGTGTCTGTCTGAGTGATGTGTTATCATGCTTGCTAAATAAATACCGGAGGAAAGTGGAGAGCGCGCATGACCTGCGATTTCCGTGAATCTGATTGGTCAAGTAATTGGTCAAGACACACAAAGAGCCTGCAGCAGCACTCTGATGTGAAGGACAAAGAAATTCTTCGCAAGTTGACAAATCATGAGGCAAATCGGTCAAAAAACAGCACTTTGCCCCTCTTTTTATTGCTTTGCGTCAATATATTTTATTAACGTAAATCAAAAGTGGTGTGATGCTGCCACGCCTGATTGAAAAGTGCTGTGGCAAATGCCACCTCGCCACACGTTTTCCGGCGGCCCTTGCCCAACCAGTACAAACATTCCCCTGAGAGGGTCCTCAGTGACATAATTTCTCATCGCAACACAGAGATGGAGCACCACTTCAGATGAAGCACTGGATACACAGTATTGAAGAAGAGGGAATTAAACACTTAGGGGCCATACTCGTCAACATTAGAAAAATATTAAGCATCAGCCAATTAAAATCATTGACGTAGTGTCACGTGATAGAACGCTACATTGTAGCTGGTCCCATCAGATACCCTGGCACATGTTAGCCCTATGATAACCTCACCAGGTGATAGTGAATATTTCCTGTAACAAATTCCTCATCATCCTATCAAAGATATTACATTTTTTCTCCACAAACCAATGGCATTTCTTAAAATAGGTCAACTCGGCCACCAGAGGGATACATGTAAACCTCCAAATATAAATTCAACCTTCATTAAATTCTTTAGCCAGCCTTTCCCAAATGGCTTGTTACGGAACTGTTCCCTGTCTACATAAACCAAAAATATCCAACACATAGCAGACATCGGTTCACATTATACAGTATCAGTCAGTCCAGTCAGTCCAGTCCAAACTCTTGTCATGGTGTTGAGTGGTACCTATGCAGACAGAGGAGAAAAATCTGTAATAATAGGAACATTTATTTAGCTAAGACAGACATCTCCTGACTTGCCATACGTACATCTGTGACATACAACGATTGACAGATAAAGTCGGTTAATGAAAAGGCCATCAAGAAAAAAGGAAACAACCATTTCTGTATGGACCTCGCTTTGTGCACAGGGGCATTGTCATGCTGAAACAGGAAAGGAAATTCCCCAAACTGTTGCCACAAAGTTGGAAGCGTTAAGATTTCCCTTCACTGGAACTAAGGGGCCTAGCCCGAACCATGAAAAACAGCCCCAAACCATTATTCCTCCTCCACCACACGTTACAGTTGGCACTATGCATTGGGGCAGGTAGCGTTCTCCTGGCATCCGCCAAACCCAGATTTGTCCGTCGGACTGCCAGATGGTGAAGCATGATTCATCACTCCAGAGAATGCGTTTCCACTGCTCCAGAGTCCAATGGCGGCGAGATTTACACAACTCCAGCCGACACTTGGCATTGCGCATGGTGATCTTAGGCTTGTGTGTGCGGCTGCTCGGCCATGGAAACCCATTTCATGAAGCTCCCGACTAACAGTTCTTGTGCTGACGTTGCTTCCAGAGGCAGTTTGGAACTCTGTGGTGAGAGTTGCAACCGAGGACAGACGATTTTTACGCGCTACGCGCTTCAGCACTCAACTGTCTCGTTCAGCAAGCTACCACTTCGCGGCTGAGCCGTTGTTGCTACTAGACGTTTCCACTTCACAATAACAGCACTTACAGTTGACCGGGCAGCTCTAGCAGAGCAGAAATTTGACAAACTGACTTGACGGAAAGGTGGCATCCTATGACGGTGCCACGTTGAAAGTCACTGAGTTCTTGAGTAACGCCATTCTACTGCCAATGTTTGTCTATGGAGATTGCATGGCTGTGTGCACGGTTTTATACACCTGTCAGCAACGGGTATGGCTGAAATAGCCGAATCCACTCATTTGAAGGGGTGTCCACATAGTTTTGTATATATATTGTACAACAATTGACAGATAAAGTCAGTTAATGAAAAGGCCATCAAGATCAAAGGAAACAAACAATGCAGGAATGAGGTATCCCCATTATATCCCCACTGTGATCTAAACTTGTGATCGTGCAAACCAACCATTTAGTCTTGCAAGGGTATTTTCCACTGTCAACACTAGTTGTACTGTGCTGGACATTCTTTCCAGGAATCACATGCTTCACATGCTGCTATGTGCTAGCTACTATGTGCTGTAGACTTTGATTTGCCAGTTGCTGAAAAGTAAAGGTGACTTACTATGGAATCCGGCTGGACATAGCCTATGTCTTCGATGCCCTTGATATTGATGATATCCACCTCTTTATCTTTGCCAGGGATGTGGGTGGACCTCTCATTTTTCTCCATGGCTTCCCCAGACTGCTGGCCAGTATCTTGGGGCTCTCCAGACGGGTCCGGGTCCTGGGTCAGGTGAGCTTTACCTGGGGAGACAAACAGCAAGGAGCACCTCTTAAGTCTCAACACGTAAGTTCTGGGTTGGTTGTAATGTACCATAGATGATGAATAAGCTATTCTGTAGGGTATAAAATAAGCCTATATGAGTTCAAATGTATAGGTGCATCTAATGTAGAGTATGCCTCCATGATATGTTTCCGGTGCTAAAATTGTATATCTTAAACTTGCGGTGCCTGAGGTCTCTCTTCCATTTTACGAAGCCAATTAGATAACCGTGTCCAAACTATACAGGGAATTATGTGGTATGGTCCCTCTAAACCATTGGGCCACACTCAGCTTGCATGGGGGATGTAGGACGACTACAAAAGGTTATCAAGAGTTTCTGGTTTCAGGCCTTATGGATCGAAATAGCTGACGTGAGTAAATCAACATTGATACCTGGTAATAAATGTGGTTAAATGTCCCTTCAATGGAGCAGACTGCAAAGTGTCATGTGAAAAGAATACATTTCCCACAGACTGCAAAGTCCTATATGAAAATATTACATAATGCATATTTAGTTTTATTGTATTTCTTTCTAGTACAAATCACTGGAAATTGAAATGTTGCTGTCAAACTAAGGTTGGCCTAATTTATTACTGCATGAGAGAGTAGGATGATACATTTAGGCAACCTTTATGCATTCCATCTAGTTCAGGGCCATGTTTCAAAGCTACAACTTGTAATGTATCATATGCATGACAGCAAGCAACATATGTACTGTACATATAGTGGGCCATATCACAGAAATGATCTAGCTCATGGATGTTTGGCTATATGATTGTTTTTAGTGTTTTAAACTCAATTTGAGTGGTCCACAATGTGGTTTTAAAAAAATCTTTATTTTGTATTACTTTATAATTGTGGAGTGACAATTAAATAAATTGTTCTAACTCTAACTAACTGGATGTGCATATCAAATAATGAAATACTGGCAAAATAATATAAAATAACAAATTCTGGGAAAACAATCATTACCTTTAAGAAAGCCTTTTCATCCACTTTTGTGTAATTCCTATGCATAATAATCTATGCAATAACAAAACGGTTATACAAGTGTAAAGTGCTATTGTTTGTTTTTCATGGTCATCCATAACTAAAGCATCCAAAAGCAACATTTATATATGTGAAATCATCCCTCTTGATCTCCTGCTAGCTGCCCAGGCAGGCCCAGGTCCGACTCAGATGACATCTGAGAGTTTGCAGCTGAGAGTTGTTTATTTTTCAGACATACTGCACTATGTGAATTGGCCCTTGGACTCTGTTGACCCTCACCCGGATGGTGCTTTTCCTCCACTCAAAGGGAAGATGTGCGTGCATCTTCACTAACATAAGCTACTGTCCAGCTGATCTCCATCAAGTCCCTGACTATCTCTGACTCGGGGCTCACTTCTCTGCAACATGAATTATCTGTTAGCTTCAAAACATTTCCACCCAGTTGTGTGTTTGGCAGTTTAAATAAACAGACCCGAGGATTAGAAGGAGTCTCATTGGTTAAAAGAAAAAGAGTGAAGAGGAAAATAAAAAATGAAAAAAAAATGACTTCCTCTCGTTCTAATATTAGAATGGTCTCTGTGGAATTTGGACATGCTACACTTCAATTCATATCAAGTTGACCATAGGTCATCCTTTCTACACAGGATACTACAAAATTGTTGAATAAAAGAGAAACCAAAGTTCTGTGAATTCACAATTTGTGTTCAATAACCTAATGAAAATGAAATACATTTAATATTACATTTATAAATCAGAATAAAGGAGACATAATGATAACCATAATGGGTCCACAAACACACCCACACATCTAAAGTCCTATAGATTGTGTCCAAGTGAACTTAATAAATGGATAAATATTGCTAAATGTTGGTTTTGTAATGATAATGTAATGATGTTATATTAAACATTACTTTACATAAACAATGGACTACATTGACAAATATTAGTACTAATAACATGTGTAAATTCATTGTCATCATTAATTCTTACTATTTCCTTTGTTGTTGTGTCCAGTCCCATTCTCATCCATGTTCTTCCTGAACTCTAAGAACTACAGTATCTCTTCAACTCTAACTGAAACACTCAACTCTAAACTAAAGTTCTAAATCCCAGTCCTAAAAGAAAAGGCTAGTCCTAAAAGAATGCCAGATTTCTGTTTTACCTGCTTCTTAAAAGTTTGACACTAACTTATTCAGAGTTTATAAAAGGTTATCCATAAAAATGTAATTAAAAAAACATGCTTATTCAGCAGAAAACAGTAGTTTCTTAACAGAGTTGCATTGTTAGATCTCCCAGACCAGACCAAACCCGATGGTACTCCAATTAGAACAACCTTGCAAAGTCAACGGATCACAACAATCTCTCTGGACACAGACAGTACTAGACACAGAATCAGGTTCATCCTCCCACCACAAACCAAACTGTAATCCAAGACCCTACTCAAAGTGTGTGACTAGCTACATCCCAGTCCCTTTAAGACAATGGAAGGGGATGTATAGGATCAATATAGGACCAGAGACGATGACATCATGGGCTATTGGGGTAAACAAATATGTTTTATGCATATATTCGTTAGTAAAGCAGGTGTTGACCAAGGGCCAAAGCCTAACCAGTCCTGAGGTCAATGCTCGTGACTCGTGACTCTTCCAGTTTGACAAACATATGAAGAGTTTAGTTCCAAAACGCTATATCCACCAATTTTTCACATTTGTCTTTTTTCATCAGAAATTATTGCTCATGGGTACCTTCGTGTGGGTTTAAAATATTAGTGTTCTCAGATGTTTAATTCATATATTTTAGATGTGTATTAAAATGGGTTTTGTTGCAAAACACTATGTTCATATTCTGTATATTTGACTGTGATACAGTATGTGGTTGTCTCACCTAGCTATTTTAAGATGAATGCATTAACTGTAAGTCATTCTGGATAAGAACATCTGCTAAATGACAAAAATGTCAAATGTAGATAATTTACATACAGATCTCATATTACTGTATTTATTAATGTACATTTTGTAAATAAAATATTGATGTCACAAATGTAGCATTTGCACAACACTTTATTTAAAATTAGGATTATTTATTACATTCTACTGTGTAAAACCTAGCAGTACAACTTATTCCTCTGAGAGTGAAGCGGATATATTGTGTTTTGCAACAAAACATGATTATTTGTCTCTCTGAAATGAAACCATCAAGAGATAGATTTCAAACAAATACATGTCTGTAATTCAACAACCCCATACCATGGTTAAATGGTGAAAAGACACACCAATCTCTTTTATAAGTTCTTTAAACAATATTTCTGACATTTTTGGGAATGAAATTAATTCTTAATATGCACACTCTGCTAAACTGAGAAACTATCTGGCCTTGATTGGTCACATCTGAAATCCGGCTACCTGAAGGCACTTTAATAAATGCAGAAAATCGCCAATCAAAATATCTGTTCTACCACAGCGACCATGTTATTTTTGTTCAGACATATAAAGTTTGTATGTGAAAACTATTTCTAAGACGCATACATTCAGTTGTTCCGAACTTCACTTGAGCTAAAGAGGGCGGCTCACTCGGCTGGTTCTAGCACGTGCGCAGATCAAATAAACTGCTGGAACGACAATTAAGGTGTTTACATGTCCTAATAATTCGAAAGATTGCTCAGAAATCCAGATGTTTAAATCGGCGTATGCTTACTTCGATTTTGACCTTACATCGATTAAGGTAAGCAGAGTACGGTGTTTACGTGACTATTGCATTATCTGACTACTGACATAATCAGTTTAATATCAAATTATTCCTGTGCATGTAAACATACTCAGTGTAGCCTACCCTTCATCTCTAACTGGTACAGCCAGGAGAGCCTGGTTCCTCTCTAGGTCTTCCTTCTAGAAATTTGTTGGGGTCTATGTTACTGTAAAAGCACTTTGTGACAACTGCTGATTCCAAAAGGGTTTATAAATTTGATTGACTGATTGATTGATTCAATGGGACTGCATAGGTCATAGGACAACATTGCAAGTGAAAGTGACCACAGTGTGTTGACACTACAAGGACACTGTCTTTCATCACACATCCCAAAAAGCATCTGCCACATGACGGTCCCCAAGGCAGGGAGTGGAAGGGTGGTGTAGCAACGAATCCTTCTAGAGACCCTGAGCTAATGACATTGCATTGATGTGTGTAAACACATAGTAATTCCAAAGCAGATATTGAGTTAAAGATGCAGTCTCTAACCTATGTATCATTTCATCCAGTAGTTTTGAAATTGGTGCTCACAAGCCAAAACGGGTCCCTGTTTTTTGATTACTATGTCATCCATTTCATGTGATATGTTACAAATTTAGCAATTTATATGATATCACCCTAGACTCAATACAATTTGCATGCCGCCCCAACAGTTCCATGGATGACGCAATCGCCATCGCACTGCACACTGCCCTATCCCATCTTGACAAGAGGAATACCTATGTAAGAATGCTGTTTATCGACTACAGCTCAGCCTTCAACACCATAGTGCCCTCCAAGCTCATCACTAAGCTCAGTGCCCTGGGTCCTAACCCCGCCCTGTGCAACTGGGTCCTGGACTTCTTGAAGGGCCGACCCCAGGTGGTGAAGGTAGGCAACAACACCTCCGCTACGCTGATCCTCAACACGGGGACTCCACAAGGGTGCGTGCTCAGCCCCCTCCTGTACTGCCTGTTGACCCATCACTGTGTGGCCACGCGTGTCTCCAACTCAATCATCAAGTTTGCAGATGACACAAAAGTGGTAGGCCTGATTACCAACAATGACGAGACAGCCTACAGGGAGGAGGAGAGGGACTTCAGGAGACAGCAGAAGGAGCACGCCCCCATCCACATCAACGGGGCCGCAGTGGAGAGGATGAAAAGCTTCACTGAGCAAGAGTGTGGTGAAGAAGGTGCAACAGCGCTTCTTCAACCTCAGGAGACTGAGGAAATTCCGTTTGGCCCCTAAGAACCTCACGAACTTCTACAGATGCACGATTGAGAGCATCCTGTCGGGCTGTATCACTGCCTGGTACGGCAACTGCACCGTCCGCAACCGCTGGGCTCTCAAGAGGGTGGTGCGGTCAGCCCAACGCATCACCGGGGGCACACCGGCTGCCCTCCAGGACATCTACAGCACCCGGTGTCACAGAAAGGCCAAGAAGATCATCAAGGACCTCAGCCTCAGACATTCTCCCAATCCTCTTCTGGATCATCCAAATGCACTCTAGCAAACTTCAGACGGGCCTGGACATGTACTGGCTTAAGCAGGGGGACACGTCTGGCACTGCAGGATTTGAGTCCCTGGCGGCGTAGTGTGTTACTGATGGTAGGCTTTGTTACTTTGGTCCCAGCTCTCTGCAGGTCATTCACTAGGTCCCCCCGTGTGGTTCTGGGGTTTTTGCTCACCGTTCTTGTGATCATTTTGACCCCACGGGGTGAGATCTGGTGTGGAGCCCCAGATCAAGGGAGATTATCAGTGGTCTTGAATGTCTTCCATTTCCTAATAATTGCTCCCACAGTTGATTTCTTCAAACCAAGCTGCTTACCTATTGCAGATTCAGTCTTCCCAGCCTGGTGCAGGTCTACAATTTCGTTTCTGGTGTCCTTTGACAGCTCTTTGGTCTTGGCCATAGTGGAGTTTGGAGTGTGACTGTTTGAGGTTGTGGACAGGTGTCTTTTATACTGATAACAAGTTCAAACAGGTGCCATTAATACAGGTAACGAGTGGAGGGCAGAGGAGCCTCTTAAAGAAGAAGTTACAGGTCTGTGAGAGCCAGAAATCTTGCTTGTTTGTAGGTGACCAAATACTTATTTTCCACCATAATTTGCAAATAAATTCATTAAAAATCCTACAATGTGATTTTCTGGATTAGTTGTCTGTCATAGTTGAAGTGCACCTATGATGAAAATTACAGGCCTCTCTCATCTTTTTAAGTGGGAGAACTTGCACAATTGGTGGCTGACTAAATACTTTTTTTCCCCACTGTACATAGTCATTGAACACTGGTCACTTTAATAATGTTTACATACTGTTTTACCCACTTCATATGTATATAATGTATTCTAGGGGTTTGCATTTTACTGTATTTTACTGTAATTGCATGGAATTGGTGCAAGCAGGTTGGCTACCAGGTAATGTGTTTACATATTACAGCATATGAAATATACACTGAGTGTACAAAACATTAAGAACAAGCTCTGATCCCTAATTGATGTCACTTGTTAAATCCACTTTAAACAGTGTAGATGAAGGGGAGGAGACAGGTTAAAGAAGGATTTTTAAACCTTGAGACAATTGAGACATGGATTGTGTATGTGTGCCATTCAGAGGGTGAATGGGCAAGACAAAATATTTAAGTGTCTTTGAACGGGGTATGGTGGTAGATGCCAGGCGGTTTGCAACGCTGCTGGGTTTTTCACACTCAATAGTTTCCTGTGTGTATCAAGAATGGTCCACCACCCAAAGGACATCTAGCCAACTTGACACAGCTGTGGGAAGCGTTGGAGTCAACATGGGCCAGTATCCCTGTGGAACGCTTTCGACACCTTGTAGAGTCCATGCCTCGACAAATTGCAATCAATATTAGGAAGTTGTTCCTACTGTTTTGTACACTCAGTGTATATGAATATTTGGTCTTTAATATCACTTGCACTTCTAGAGGCCTTAACAAAGGCTTCCAAACCTGCAGTGACTACAGGGCAAAACAGACCAAGGACATGGCAAATACTCAACTATTAAAGGTGTGAGGCCTGCTGCCCCTTCAATATGTCCCCTATACATATTTAGTTGTTGGGACACTACTACCACATATCAGTTCAATTGCTTCAGTGTTCTCACTCACGGGTGCAACAAATGTAGCCTCTTACAAGGCACGCCTCAAAATATGCTAATGAGCCAGAAACAACAATACCATGCACTCACTAGTGGTCAAAAGGTTTTTGGAACTCCAAAAACACGGTAGGTTACTGTATTCTGTGGGGTGGAATTACAGTACCATTTGAAATACAGTAGTTCTTTACATAAATGTATACCGTTAAACCAATGTTTCATTGGAATTTAAGGTATCATTTACCAGTTACGCCTAAAATCACCTATTAGTTTTATTGTATAATACCGTAAAAACAACCAGATCTTTTAACAGTGTACCCAGCAGCTGCTGAAAATATTATTCCACTTCACTGCCGCTTCAAGAGGATCTTTACTAAAATGGTCTGAGCTTCATGCATCTCACCCGACAGCATGAGGTTGGCCCCTGAAACTGAACATTTGAGTCTACTGTATACATAAGCTATTACTGTAAATCAATACATGGATGGGCAACTTTGATGCGGATGGGGGCCACCAAAAATCTGAATTTATCACGAGGGGCCGCAGTTGCTCATATCCACATCGATACCCACCCCTGTCCCCCATTGATAGCAAAACAAAATTGTGGCCCCACTCTTGACAGTCGAGATACATTTTTTTTTTTTACATTTTAGAGTTAATTTCATGCAATTCTACACATTTTGCCAAAGGGTGGAGAGAAATGTTTGCAGTTTAACTATGATGCCTGAGTGAGACTGACTAACAAAATAATTTGACCAAGATAACATGTTTAGATAGCTGGCCACTAAACTAACTTAGCAACCTAAAAAATGTTAGCTGACCTGGGCTAATTAACTGACTATCAGTGACTGACTAAACAAAAGAAGGACTGCTGATCCACAACCAAGTTTCGAAATTGCACCTTGTGTATTCTACTATTCTAACTTGCAACAGTAAGTTGAGACCCCACTGAGGTTTTTTTTTTATATTTATCCGAGGGCCCATCCCTGAAATGCAGTATGTTAAAGTTATTTTTACAAGAGGCTACCAATTACAGTTAATAATAGTATTTTTCAGCATTTTACCCATAATGCAATGCAAGTTACAGCATTAATTCTGTTAAAACCTATAAGTTATTTTACTGTACGTTCTACAGTGTTTTACTGTTGAAATTACAGAAAAGTCTTAAAGTGTGTAATAACTGAACACGCAATGCATGCAGCATTGACAATATAACCTTCTGACAGCCTTGCACTGTGCACACCGACCTGACTGACAAAGACAGGTGAGGGTTTTGCGACACGGAGTCCTCCTCTCTCACAACATGTTCGTCATACTTCTGGATTACTTTGTACACCTGACACCATAGAATCGGAATTGGCTTCCACTCCTCGAGCTCGACTGTCACTAAATCATATCCAGACAATAGGAAAGGTAAATGTGGATGTTTTGGTCGCCCTGCCTATCAGGCATTGCTTTAGCCCGAAACAATTAGCTCTGTGTCAGTCCTTTGTAGCTCCTTATTTTAAACTGTCAATGGGATTCCCTAATGTTTGTATGTCATATACTCACATTTTGTACGGATACATACTGAAGCCTAGTTTCATGTCTGTGTCTGTCCAACAAAACTTTTTTAACGCTTGCTCAGACTCAAACATATAACGATTATCTCCTGCTCTCTGCTTGAATTCACTTTCATCTTGCCGAGTCCGACCGTGCAAAGCGCTGCAGGTAAACCAGCTCTCTTTACAGTTCAAGTTAAAGATGCAAGAGACCAAAGTAAATAATAAATTCACAGCATTTTATATCACAATCATAGTTAAAACATTGTATTAATTAACAAAACAATCGAAAAATAGATACACATATGGTTGTATGTTTATTACATCGTTATTAGCATGCAGATTAAATGGTGTTATTGTCCTGCGTCAGAAATTGAGTTGGCATGTATCATTTGGAAATATGCATTTAAACACAAAAAAATAATAGTTTGCTGTGACAATGACTTAGGCTAGCCTAGTCATTGTTTCAACATCCCCACATAGACATACCAACAGAAAAATATGATACAGAGATGTATCAGCAACATTTTACCTGCAATGGATGAAATAAAAAGCCTAAGGATGTCCTGTCCAACCTGCTGAGAAGGTTTACAGGGAACTTAAATCCATAACGACCAGCAAGCAGTCAGCCTCTCCTCGTTGTTCCGAGGACAGTCAGTGCGCACGCTGAGCTCTTGTCAACCCTCCTTCCTCGAGTCGCGCGAAAAGTGTGAGACAGTGGAACATGCATGAACATCTATATCTGAGGCAGTCCCTCTGTTCCCCTGTGCGGTTGACGTATCAACCCAATTTCTAATGGCGTAGAGTAAACCTAATTTAATTTAGGAGCCAAACATGCCCAACTCAATAATTGAATTTGCCAATATATTTACGCAGGCAATATATTTAGGCTATATTGAATAAACCATCTGGGGTTTGATCCATCTGCATGAGAATACTTCATTTGATTGTGCTTGTGAGCATTATTCTGTTCCACAAATACCATAACTAACCACAATGTAAAAATGAGGTGCTTTGAAACTTTGAGCTGCCACCACCTTAAAGGAGACAAAATCTTAACTTTGCTGGAGTATTGAAACACATGGGTGTGAGGGTAGTGGGACAGATTTAACGTGAACTGACACGTTCATCCAGAGGTGTTCTGAAACATGACAAAGTGTGTTGTAACCAGTGGCGGTCGGTGCCATTTAAGATGAGGGAGGACGATTTTTTTATTTTATGAGCATGGCCTTCTTTCTATAACAGCATATTGGATGACTGTCATTCATATTCCATTCACCCAGTTCAATTAAAATGTATACATCGGTTCCACATGAATGGAACGTTAGATAAACACAATTATTATTTTTCAGATTACTCATTTTCTTTTTGTCAAGCAAATATAATTTCTTCAAGTAGATGCATTGTAATGGAATATAATCAATTTATTTGAATTAAATGTGTAGCTTCAAATGGATTTTATCATGTTCCCTAAACCTGATCACTACTTAATAATTAACATTATTTTATTGATGATATTACTCATAATTATGTAGAACTTTGTCCATAATTTATATTATGGACAAGGTTCTACATCATTATTTGTGTAAGCACAAGATGAAATGCTGCCATTTTCTACCTTAGTGTTTGTATTTATACAAATTAATAGAGAAATAAAAAGTATATGCTAAAGATGTGTAACCAAGGAGCAAGAGACCATCTGCATCAGTGACAAAGAAGGCAAAAGGCATGTGTTAAAAAAAAATTATACTGTATGTTTTGTAACAGTTCAGGTCTTTGGAACGACAAATGTCCATTCACTGACATTCAGTGTTCAATGAATTGCACAGGTCTAAATCACATCTTTATAAAAAAAAATAAGAAGAGTTGCCCTAACAATGATTGGGCACTCTCTCTAATGCATTTTGTTACAAAATGAGGTAGTTCTTTTTCATAAGAAGTAACATAGACAAAGAATGAGGTAGGTATGTGTACACTACCGTTCAAAAGTTTGGGGTCACTTAGAAATTCTTGTTTTCGAAAGAGAATATATTTTTTTGTCCATTAAAATAACATCAAATTGATCAGAAATACAGTGTAGACAATGTTAATGTTGTAAATGGCTATTGTAGCTGGAAACGGCTGATTTTTAACGGAATATCTACATAGGCATAAGTATGAAAAAAATATATATATAACAGTGGGGGAAAAAACTATTTAGTCAGCCACCAATTGTGCAAGTTCTCCCACTTAAAAAGATGAGAGAGGCCTGTAATTTTCATCATAGGTACACGTCAACTATGACAGACACAATGAGAAAGAAAATTCCAGAAAATCACATTGTAGGATTTTTAATGAATTTATTTGCATATTATGGTGGAAAATAAGTATTTGGTCAATAACAAAAGTTTCTCAATACTTTGTTATATACCCTTTGTTGGCAATGACACAGGTCAAACGTTTTCTGTAAGTCTTCACAAGGTTTTCACACACTGTTGCTGGTATTTTGGCCCATTCCTCCATGCAGATCTCCTCTAGAGCAGTGATGGTTTGGGGCTGTCGCTGGGCAACACAGACTTTCAACTCCCTCCAAAGATTTTCTATGGGGTTGAGATCTGGAGACTGGCTAGGCCACTCCAGGACCTTGAAATGCTTCTTACGAAGCCACTCCTTCGTTGTCCGGGCGGTGTGTTTGGGATCATTGTCATGCTGAAAGACCCAGCCACGTTTCATCTTCAATGCCCTTGCTGATGGAAGGAGGTTTTCACTCAAAATCTCACGATACATGGCCCCATTCATTCTTTCCTTTACAGGGATCAGTCGTCCTGGTCCCTTTGCAGAAAAACATCCCCAAAGCATGATGTTTCCACCCCCATGCTTCACAGTAGGTATGGTGTTTTTTGGATGCAACTCAGCATTCTTTGTCCTCCAAACACGACGAGTTGAGTTTTTACCAAAAAGTTCTATTTTGGTTTCATCTGACCATATGACATTCTCCCAATCCTCTTCTGGATCATCCAAATGCACTCTAGCAAACTTCAGACGGGCCTGGACATGTACTGGCTTAAGCAGGGGGACACGTCTGGCACTGCAGGATTTGAGTCCCTGGCGGCGTACTGTGTTACTGATGGTAGGCTTTGTTACTTTGGTCCCAGCTCTCTGCAGGTCATTCACTAGGTCCCCCCGTGTGGTTCTGGTATTTTTGCTCACCGTTCTTGTGATCATTTTGACCCCACGGGGTGAGATCTTGCGTGGAGCCCAAGATCGAGGGAGATTATCAGTGGTCTTGTATGTCTTCCATTTCCTAATAATTGCTCCCACAGTTAATTTCTTCAAACCAAGCTGCTTACCTATTGCAGATTCAGTCTTCCCAGCCTGGTGCAGGTCTACAATTTTGTTTCTGGTGTCCTTTGACAGCTCTTTGGTCTTGGCCATAGTGGAGTTTGGAGTGTGACTGTTTGAGGTTGTGGACAGGTGTCTTTTATACTGATAACAAGTTCAAACAGGTGGCATTAATACAGGTAACAAGTGGAGGACAGAGGAGCCTCTGAAAGAAGAAGTTACAGGTCTGTGAGAGCCAGAAATCTTGCTTGTTTGTAGGTGACCAAATACTTATTTTCCACCATAATTTGCAAATAAATTCATTAAAAATCCTACAATGTGATTTTCTGGGGTTTTTTTTCCTCCATTTGTCTGTCATAGTTGATGAATGATGATATGATGAAAATTACAGGCCTCTCTCATCTTTTTAAGTGGGAGAACTTGCACAATTGGTGGCTGACTAAATACTTTTTTCCCCACTGTATATAGGGCAGTAGTCTCTAAGGTGCAGGGTTGAGTACCAGGTGGTAGCAGTCTAGTAACAGTGACTAAAGTTCAGGCAGGGTACTGGGCGGAGGCCTGCTAGTGGTTACTAATTACAGTCTGATGGCCTGGAGATAGAAGCTGTTTTTCAGTCTCTCGGTCCCAGCTTTGATGCTCAATTTGTCTGTCATAGTTGACGTGTACCTATGATGAAAATTACAGGCCTCTCTCATCTTTTTAAGTGGGAGAACTTGCACAATTGGTGGCTGACTAAATACTTTTTTTCCCCACTGTATGTATGCACTCACTAACTGTAAGTCGCTCTGGATAAGAGCATCTGCTAAATGACTAAAATGTTTTAAAAAAAAATAGGCATACTGAGGCCCATTATCAGCAACCATCAGTCCTGTGTTCCAATGGCACATTGTGTTTGCTAATCCAAGTTTATCATTTTAAAAGGCTAATTGATCACTAGAAAGCCCTTTTTCAATTATGTAAGCACAGCTGAAAACGGGATGCTGACCTTTTAGGCAGAGTTGCAAAGAAAAAGCCATATCTCAGACTGGCCAATAAAAAGAAAAGATTAAGATGGGCAGTCTGAGATATGGCTTTTTCTTTGCAACTCTGCCTAGAAGGTCAGCATCCCAGAGTCGCCTCTTCACTGTTGACGTTGAGACTGGTGTTTTGCGGGTACTATTTAATGAAGCTGCCAGTTGAGGACCTGTGAGGCGTCTGTTTCTCAAACTAGACACTCTAATGTATTTGTCCTCTTGCTCAGCTGTGCACCTGGGCCTCCCACTCCTCTTTCTATTCTGGTTAGAGCCAGTTTGCGCTGTTCTGTGAAGGGAGTAGTACACAGTGTTGTTCGAGATCTTCAGTTTCTTGGCAATTACTTGCATGGAATAGCCTTCATTTCTCAGAACAAGAATAGACTGACGAGTTTCAGAAGAAAGTTATTTGTTTCTGGCCATTTTGAGCCTGTAATTGAACCCACAATTGCTGATGCTCCAGATACTCAACTAGTCTCAAGAAGGCCAGTTGAAATGCTTCTTTAATCAGCACAACAGTTTTCAGCTGTGCTAACATAATTGCAAAAGGGTTTTCTAATGATCAATTAGCCTTTTAAAATGATAAACTTGGATTAGCAAACACAACGTGCCATTGGAACACAGGACTGATGGTTGCTGATAATGGGCCTCTGTACGCCTAAGTAGATATTCCATAAAAAAATCAGCCGTTTCCAGCTACAATAGCCATTTACAACATTAACAATGTCTACACTTGTCACAAGCTGGGCTTGAACTCAGGTCTCCAATGTGGAGAGTTGGGTGTTCTACCCCTAAGCCACAGAGGAGGTATAGTAGGACCCAAACGAAACACCCAAGGCAATACTCCAGGCAAAGTAGATTTAATATAAAAAAAGGTATTTCTTTGCACTTCAAAAATAATCCAACAAAAGTTCTTCTCAGAAAGAGGTATACTAACAGAGGTACAGTAAACAAAACAGGAGGACAAAACAAAATAACTCCACGAGGGGAGAAAAAACAAAATAAAGATAACTTAGAAAAGCTTACTCGGAAAGACTCTGTGGGACACAGCAGGAGACACATAGCCAGGACTCAAAAACCAAGTGAGGAACAAGGGGAAAAAACACAGCTAAAATACTCTAGGGGAAACAAGGCACAGGTGACCTGGATAAAGCTAATAAGGACACACGAGGAAGAACTAAGGCAGAGGGGAACACAGATGACCTCTAGAGGCCCGGAGACAAACAGGAGGCAGGAAGCTGACAACACTGTATTTCTTATCAATTTGATGTTATATTAATGGACAATTTTTTTTATTTTCTTTCGAAAACAAGGACATTTCTAAGTGACCCCAAACTTTTGAACGGTAGTGTACATATTTGTGCA